CTCTCTCTCTCTCTCTCTCTCTCTCTCTCTCTCTCTCTCTCTCTCTCTCTCTCTCTCTCTCTCTCTCTCTCTCTCTCTCTCTCTCTCTCTCTCTCTCTCTCTCTCTCTCTCTCTCTCTCTCTCTCTCACACACAAACACACACACACATTCTTGTTACCTTGTAACTTCCCATACACACACACTCTCTCACACATGGACATCACTCCCATTCCTTTCTTATCTTTTGTAATAAATAAACTCTGTGAGCAGAATTCGGGGCATTTGCCTCGTGCTCTTGCCATAGATTGCAATTTGGTACTTGTCTGCTTAATTTGTCTCCTGTCTCTCTAGCTGCAGGAAATGGGTTTATTGATAACATATATTAATAAAATCCCTAACAGAGTGGTTCCGACATCTTTCCGAGCAAACCAGAATGTTCATAACACACCACAAAAGGTAAGATTATCTGATCAGATTATCTTTAGAGCCTTTACGGTCAGTAATTCTACACAGTTTTAAGATTGTCAGAAAGGGAGAAGCTTTCCAAATATCTGCATGATTATTCTGGCGTGGGAACTGAACCTTAGACTCATAATCCTGTCGTTTTCCATCCCTCCTCTCTTTTAACTTCTACCTCCTGAAATAGACATGCATTTCTACTAGAAACCATAGCAAATGTATTAAAAATGAGTCAGTGGGGTATTTTAAGAAGATCTGACACCTCCTTGGTGATGTACTATAATTTGTTTGTATCTTCATGTTTTTATGACTCCATGAATCCTAACCAAACCCCCAGCCGACAACAAGCCTCCACCATATTTCACTGCTGGATGCAGACACTCATTATGTTACATCCGTTCTGGTGCAGAAAAATATCTTAAACATTGACTCATCGATTGAGAGCAGCAGCTATTTTTTGCTGTGCATCTCTTATCGTGTTTTTAGACATAGCTGAGTCATTTGGCCTAGTTTCCATGTCAAATGTTTGGTATGTGGATTAAAAATAAAGTAGCCTACGTTAATGGGCAAATTTCTGTGGGGAGTAGACGTAGCTGCATCACGGTCCTAATAGTTCCTGCCATCTTTCTGCTTGTAAGGGAAGTGATGATAATGGTGATTCTTCTTTCTCCAAAGGCCAATCACAGCACTCTATCGGTTTGGTGGACGGGATGATGTGACGGAGCGAAACAACTAAGATGGCAAGGGCTCATTTGAAACGGCTTTGGCTTCAACTTTAGACTATTTAGACATGGACTTTTCTTTGAGTCAAGAGCAGATAGAGGTACTTAAGTCCTCTTTTTAGAAAAAAGATGTATTTGCATCTCCTTGGATAGTCTATGGTGGACTGCCCCATTGACTGACACCCGTAGCGGTGAGTATGTCACATTGTTCATTGTCCAATAGCATGCAGAGACAGTTTGAAACACAACCATAGATTCCACCCCTCGACTGAACTTTTTCTATGGGTCGTGGCCAGACTATATATTCACATAAATAAGCTTGCTAGAGACTAATTGCTCTTTGAAGGGTGCCGTTCATTCGAGAGCCGATTCCCTCAAAGAGATGTTCAAAACACTGGGTCTTTGGAACGAAGCGGGGTGATCTTCGTGGGAACGAAGCATTCTCTAGAAAGACAGCTCTCATTGTTCACTTTGAAGAGCTGTTCAAAAGATTTGATTTGATCGCGCGTCCGGGTACTGGACCTCCAGGGCCACTATCTTAATTATTTTGGAGGTGTCTCTGCTTAAACACAGCAAATTTTAATAAGTGATGACAATCTGACTTCTGCATGCTGAACAGGTAATTTAACCATTAAATCAGGTGTGCTGGAGCACTAAAACATGCACTAGAGGACCAGGACTGAGCATCACTGACCTACACAAACAGCTGTTCCTATTGAATAGGAAATTATGGCGATTATCACCTATTTGGTGTAATTGGTTGATGATACACCTGACTGTAATCTCTGACTATGCACGTGCATGTATAAGAACAGATTATTGTTTTTAATATTTAGAAACAAATCTGTAAATCTAAGAAGTCAGTCATGTAAAATGGCCTGTATTTGTATAGCACCTTCTTAGGGTTCTACAACCCCCCCAAGGCACTTCACAACACAATCAGTCATCCACTCATTCACACACACATTTGCACACTGGTAATGAGCTACAATGTAGCCACAGCTGCCCTGGGACACACAAAGGTGAGGCCTGCCGAACACAGGCGCCACCGGTCCGTCAGACCACCAACAGCAGGCAAGGCGGGTTAAGCGTCTTGCCCAAGAACACAACAGCAGCATTCACTGGTCAGAGCTGGCATTAAACACGCAACCTTCCAATTGCAGCACAACCTGCTCTACCTCCTGAGCTACTGCTGTTCCATGTGGCATATGGCTTCAAAGTTAAATTCCAGTGTAAGGAGATAACTTATTTTCTTTGCTCTGAAACAAAAATACTGAATTTTGGGATAAGTAAATGAGATACAGTCCTCAGTTCTTTTGGCCTAAGAGGTAATATCTGACAGATAATTACTGATCTTCAATTTTCTCTTAATAGAACAACTTCTACCCTCCCTGAGCTTATACATCTACGTTCCCCAAACAACAACAACAAATTCACTGTACAAAATATAGACTTGCAGAAATTGGCAGAGCCGCAAAGTACAGGCTGAGCAACTCTGAGAGTAGACAGGCATTTGACTGGTGTATTTCTGTGATACACAAACACTGGAAAACAAATCAAATGCTCAGACAAAGCTCAGACATATCCTGACGGCTACACGGGGCCATGGGAATATAAAGAATCCGCTCTCAAAAAAGGATGATCTGCTTTAGCATTGGTGCAAAAATTTTTGCTAAAGTAAACTAGCACACAAACATTTAGATTTGTCACATATGATTAATGTTCTTTAAGATTCAATATGTAAGAAAAAAGTAAGAATGACATCTTGTGGTCAAATTTGGTTACTGCAGCTAATTTTTCTAAGCATAAAGTTACTTTCTCACTACCGCTCCGTGAGTTTCATGGTTGTTGCCAGTTACGGATCAGCGCCAGAAGATTCTAGATTACAAGCGAAGACGACCCATACATGGCAAGTGGATAAATATGCTGTCATATCTAGTTTCAGCACTCTTGGGTGCTTTAAGGTAGGGAGCATTTTCTACACTTATTACAGTGGTATGCCTCTGTCATTAGAGAAGTTTGCCATCTTGCTGTTATAATGCTGAACGAGTCATTAAAGTAAGTAAAACGCAAGATTGACTCATTATTCACTTCACACATACATTTCACAGTAATATTGAGTTGTTGGTAATTGATAACATAGTCTGAGATATTTTTAGAGCCAACTGTTTGCTAACTAGAGCAAAACTGCCCTCCTGGTTGGAGGGTAACTCTGAAGTGCCCATTTTTCCCTCCACCTGAACCAATCCTCATATAACCCCTCTTCACTCTCTATTAAGGAAATGCGACTCAGGGTTGCGAATGACCACAGTCACCAATTCTTGTCATGTGTCTTGCCCATGTATGTCTGATCTCTGAATTGTGTGTGCTGAAACTAATTTCTCTCTGGGATTAATAAAGTATCTTTGATTTGAACTGCAAATTAGAGGCATCGTTAGCTCAACGAAAGCCTCTAGCCTTCTTTACCCAATGTGGAAGTGAAACAAAGATGTCATGGCTTCTTAGGGGTTCAAGAAATAACTTCTGGGCCGCCACTGTTTACTGGCTTTGGTTATTTTAACAACTCTGATACTTTTTGGCTTGGTTTCAAATTACAAATGCCAGACTCGACAACCTCACCGGCTCACACATCGTAAACAGTGACTATGTCCCTTTCTAGCAACCACCCACATGGCTTAGAAGAACATCTGTTTCAATGTAACCTTCCTTCCAACGTGATTGAGACATTTGACAGTTTTGTGATAATTTCACTGTAGAATTCTGACATACGCTCCTTTAGTGTATTGCCATGCTAAATGCTAATTAGCATTCAGCACAGACTCTAAAGCGATGGCTTGAGTTTTGTAGGTACAAACTTCTGGGTAAACTCAAACTTTCATAGACTTCATTTGACAGAGTCTGACATCAAATCAGCCCGTTTTACTTTTAAAAACATTCATCTGATTGTGCCAAGGACTATTCTGAAATAAAAGTACCCTTCACCAAGTTGAGGTGCATTCATCAGCTAGGGAGAAAATAAGCAGTGTTTCAGTAGTCTCTGCTGCACAGCCCAATTACAGTAGATCAAAGACAGACAGCACTAAGGATACAAACGCAGAGGCGTCTCCGGTCAAAGGTTTGTCTAACGCACGGGAGCAGCATTCCAACTGAAGAGAGGGAATAATAAGTGACCGCATGGGATTTACTTCAAATCTAAATAACTATATTCAAAGTATTATTCCTTCTCACTCACTAGTGTTTTTATTTAAATGTTTGATTAAATGCATATAAAATTATTGTTTAATCTCAGTATTATAAGTATAGCTATAAATACAAGCGCCTAATTTGGGGATTCTATCATTTCAAACATTTTAACGACACTTTACATGAAACTTAATCTCTCTTAACAAGTGTTTTTAGTTAACAGTCTGGAGGGAAGACCTTAAAAGTTTCCCATCATAACACTGTGACCTAGTGTTAATGAAAGGAGGCGCCTGACAAGATGTTCTCTGGCAAGACTTAGAAGAGGGAGTTCCACTGTTTAACAGGTTTAATGGTATGCTCATCTTGTTGCTAAGAAACCACCAAAGGTCTGAGTCAGGGAAGGCTACAGAGCAGAAACCATTTCCCATCACAGCAGTTCGAGGAAGACTTGCAAAGAGAGAGAAGTGACAAAATCAAATATTCAAAGTGCTCATAATGAGGAAATGGCGAGCCTCGAGGACAAAATTCAAGTACTTTCTGTAAAAAAAAGGTGACATCAGCATTTCTTTTAAGTTTAATTCAAAAGGTTCCAGTTAGATTTAATTTTAGACAAGAACCCCCCCACCCCCACCCACACACCGGTAACACACAATGTGTATGGAAAGGAAGTTTATTTAATGAAACTCCTGTAGATACTCATTATTTAAAGTTTTTGCAACAGCTGAGCAATAATAAAAAAATTATTGGCAACCACCTTACTGAAAAATAAATATACCCCCCCCCCCCAATACAGTTGAATCAATAAGGACAGATTACCGACACTCACACATACACATGTCGCATACTTACAGTTTCAAAACCAAACTTTAATTTAAATAAGTTGTGTTATTAATAAATATTATTTCATCGATAAGAGGGAGCACAGTTCTTCCTACAGAACTCATGGTCATTAGTGATGTTGAGTGTGCCCAAGTAAGAAAAGCCATTAGTGGAACGGAATATAAAAATCTGAATATTAATATCAACACTTTCATAGACGAGCACAGAAACGTATGCAGCCTTTACCATAGAGAAGAAACGTTAGCTGTATAAATATAATTCTAAAGTGCATCTGTTAAAAGACTTGTCAAGTGACGTCAACGGCGGTCCTATAAAACAAAATAACGTGCAGCAAATGGATTTAGTAAAAACTACCTAAATACATGCATTTCTTTTTTTTTTCCCTGACAAAAGAAAAACAGGACTAAGTAACAAACACAAGGAACTTGTTCACACTCTAATTTACAGCATATTTATTAAAAGTCTGAGCAAACTTGGCTGATTTGTTTTCTTTAAAAGCACACAGCGGTGTAGGACACAAGTCCTCATTAAAATACCTATGCAGAATTGTGTTTTCCCATCCCGTAAATGGAGACAGGTCTAGATCTTAGGCAGCTTGGGAGCACTGATGAGAGGGTTGGTCTCCTGCAGAAACCGACGCCCGGCACTTTTGTAGTCGTAAGAGCAGTCGTGGGTTTCCGGGTAACGATGGGTGGCGCAAAAGTTGTGACTGCACCTACAAGATAGCATAAAAATGTAAACAGTCAGGTACAAAAATGATCTAATGCTTTAAACACTTGAGGAGCAATGTTAGCAGAAGTCATTAAAGGGGACATATTAAACAAATCTCACTTTAGTGCTGCTGTGTGTCTCTACTGCCTCTATAGACACTCCAAACGTGAATAAAAACCATCCATCTGCTGTCTGTCTGTGTTTAGTTTCAGGATTCATGTGCTTCTGACGAGCAGTTTCAAAAAGTCCTCTTATTGTGGCATCCCAATAAGGAAAATTAGCATAGAACCCCTGTTGTAATCTGGTGCGGTGAAGAGGGAGCGAAGCCAGAAAGTAAAGTTCTCAATTTACCAGGCCATCTTTGTCCCGATCCTCACCTACGGTCACGAGCTTTGGGTCATGACCAAAAGAACAAGATTATGACAAAGTGGACAAAATTATTTTCCTCCATCGGGTGGTCGAGCTCAGCCTTAGAGACAGGTAGAAGAGCTCAGACATTCAGGAGAAGCCGAGTAGAGCCACTGTTCCTCCATGTTGACAGGAACCAGCTGAGGTGGTGAGAATGTCCCCTAGATGCTCTCGAGGGCAGGCGTTTCAGACATGCCCTGCCAGCAGGAGGCCCGAGGTCGAACCAGGGCACCTTGGCCAGGAAACATCTGGGGATGTCATTGGACAAAAGAAGGTTTGGGAGGAAGGTTCTCTGCCGAAGCTGTTACCACCGGAACCCAGACAGAACAGACGGACGGAGCACAGAACCCCTCTCACCAGTTGACTCCAGAAGTGCAGCAGCTCTACTCTGAGTCCCTCCTGGATATCTGAACTCCTCACCTAATAGCAGCCAATTAGAGGGTGAGTGGCGTGGCCAGCGACAGCTCGTTTTGTTAAAGTAACAGAGTCCTGAAACGACTGGAATAAAGCCGCTAAAGAACCTTCTAAACACCTATACACCTATTAGAGGTCCCCTTTAAGGAACAACTATGGGAATAACTGTGACCTCCTCAGTCTCGTCTTGGTTTTCTACATCTAAACAGTTCAAATAAGGCAGCTGGTAACTGCAGCAACACTTCCTCAAATCTGCAACATAATCGAGACTGATGTTCAGTTAATCACAGTACTCAGTCTACTGAACACAGCAGGGAGGGCAGTAACTTTAAGAGGTCGACTCGACGTTAAAAGATTAGAGTTACGTTCTGTTGCATCAGATTCAGTCTGCGCACCCAAAGTGAAGTCCAGGGCGGAGAAGACGTTTATAGATGTTGGAAGCTTTGATGAAGCGAATAACTTGTTAGAGAACAAGTTGGGAACATCCGTTTCCCTTTGAGATGTGACAGGAGCAAAGTGAACAAAGCAGGAACCACTTTGTATTAAACGGCTGGTTTCAAGGGCAAGCGAGAGAGATTTAAAGTTTAAAGTGAGTCAGCTGGAGAACACAAAGGGAACCGACACATTTGTACCTGCATTCGTAGCTGGTGGCCAGCCCAGTCTTCTTGCCACAAAGGAAGCAGTGCTTTGAGCTCTTCTTCTTGGTGCCAACGGGGGCCTTAACTGGAGGTAGGTGGTACATTGGAGTGCCTGACAATAAATTTTTTTTAAATTATTTCAACCATTTAAATGATTCCAGGTGTCATCAGAAAAAAAAAACAATTGTTGATTTACAAACTGGAGAGGTCAGAATTGCATTATACTTGTTGTTCTATGCAGCTCAATTTCTAAAACATTTGGATGCTTGAAACATCTGTTAATTTTACAACCTGCTTCCTGTCAGGGAACTTGTACTCAGAGAATTAATGACAAGAAAACAACCTTCCCTGAATGCAGTCTTCATATAGTTCCATATGTGTATTTCTGTGGCTTCCACTGTCATCTCAGGTGTTTCAAACCTGGTGTAAAGCTACATCTGCACAATGATGTGCAAGTTTAATCAGTTAAACTAGGTGCAGGTGTGTGCGATGTGTTTTTATTTTAAAGGTCTCATTCACTGAGAAACCGTTGTTCTTTTGGAATTACGATAAGTCACTCCGAGTTGGGTGTGCATGCTGAACATGAGAACCTTCTCCGACCCCCATTGCCAGCAATGGCCACAGAAAGAAAATAGAAAGCCACTCTCTTATCAAACATAGTGAAAATTAGCATTCATGGCTTTGACCACCTTGGCTTGCAACCAAGGAAGGCTGCTTATGATTTAGCATCCAGGAGGGAGTAGCGCTAGTGGAAGCTAACCGTTAGCATTAGTAACTCCAACACACAGCAGAACTCCTTCACGCTCGACTTATTTGCGGAGTTAAAACATCAACATTGCATTTTTAACCCAGGAAAGAAGAGCAAATGGAGGCAGTGGAAGAGTCGCGTTGCTGTTAGCCAATCAGAGATGAGATATTTGCAAATCATAAATACTAGTAAGTAAGACTCCAAATGCTGCAGTTTTCCACGCCCACTCCTATGGCTAACTCCTACACCTTGCGACAGGAGAACCTGAGTGTTTTTCTACATAAGATTTATTTATTCTCATTTAGAGACCACTGCAGGTTTGCTGAACACCGGATGAATTCAAGTTTTAAAGTACATCAATGACTAGTTTGAAACTGAATAACTGGGTTAAAAATGATGTAACTTAAGGAAACATCGCTTATCTAAAACGTTTTCCGTTAATGTCACCTTTTTTGTTATCTTCTCACTAATATCTGTGGAAGCATGCAGCTCAGCTAGTGCTGCAGGCCACAGAGACTCAGCAGCATAACGAAACTGGCAGTACCGTGATGAAAAGTGCTGCAAGCTCTCTGTCGAGCAGGTAGGAATGTGACCGGCTGTCTGCATTTAAAAAAAATGTTTTTTTCTTTGTCTATGCCGTTTGTCTGGATAGACACGCCTGGAGTTAAGAATTTGTGTTCAACCACTGACGACAGAACACGGCTAGTATAGTTTTTAATTTCAAAGTTTGTTTATTTCTGCAATAGCGTACTTTACGGTAGTGACAAACAGATCGTGATGTAATGTCACAATGCATTCTGGGAGGTAGCTCAGAACAAACAAGCATGCATTTTGCGTTGTACCAGCCTGTCACCATGAAGAGAGAGCTGAGAACCTAAGGTCACGAGCTTCAGGTAGTGACCGAAAGAATGAGACTGCGGATAAACAGTACAAGCGGCCGAAATGAGTTTTTTCCACAGGGAGTCTGGGCTCTCTCTTAGAGATGGGGTGAGAAGCTCGGTTATCCGGGAGGGGCTCGGAGTAAAGGAGTAAACCCAAGCCGAGAGGAACCAGTTGAGGTGGCTCGGGCATCTAGTTAAGATGCCTCCTGGACGTCTCCCTGGTGAGGTTTGCTGAGCACGTCCAACTGGGAGATGACCTAAAGGAAGACCCAGGACACGATGGAGGGACCATGTCTCTTGGCTGACCAAGGAAAGCTTTGGGATTCCCCCGGAGGAGCTGGCCCAAGTAAATGGGGAGAGGGAAGTCTGGGCCTCTCTGCTTAGGCATCTGCCCCCGTGACCCAACCCTGGATAAGTGGAGAACAATGAATGAATGGATGGATGGATGGATGGACGGATGGACAGATGCTTGGAAAGAAAGGTCCTACATCTGAGAAAGACGAACCAGTACCATCAACGCTCTCAGATGTGGAGTTACCCAGGAGGCAGCAGTATAAACAAAGGAGTCCAGCTGAACGTTTTGGCCAAACAACATCCAAACGTGGACAAAAAGAGCTTTTGACCAGAAGTGTGTAGTGACACAAATACTAAACAGAGTAAAAAAAGTAAGAAAATGTTACTGGAGCACTGTGAGTAATGAGTAACTATTAAAGCAGAAAAGTTAGAATTTTGTTTCTGTTGATTTGTTCTTAAAGAGCAAGTCACCCCCAAATCAACTTTTTTTTGCTGATAAACTATATAAATGTGTGTCTAATTGTGCTGCAGACACGTGTAGTCAATAATTTGGCACTTCAGTGCATCTTAGTTAAAATTTAAATATTCTGCCTAAAACTGTCAGTGTTGCGCCGTTGTCAGGTAAAAACTCTGCACTGTATTTGTACTTAAATCTGCCACCGCTATTGGCTAAGAGGTACGCTATGATGTAAACTGGTACATTATGATGTCACAATGCCGCTGTGAGCCTGTGTGTGTGTGTATTTGTTAGTGGCTCCGCCTTCTCGGTCTGCTAGGCAACAGCATTTGTTGCATTTTTCAAACATGAAGAAGGAGTGAATTAAGTTTCTTGTAGGGGGTGACTTGCTCTTTAATCTACGTGAACACGCTGTTTTATTAAACTGGCAACTACGTTTTGTTCGTCTAGCATTAGCACCCAGCATGGTGAGTACGCTATTCAACTCAGACCGAGAGACCACCTAAAGGCTCAGGAATCGTTTGCAGGTGTTTTGGATGAATCAGCTGATTAGAGTGGGACACTTTTGAGTCTAGAATATTGAACTTTGTCACAATTTTCTAATTGTCTGAGGTTTTGAATGTGGGGTTTTCATCAGCTGTAAGCCACAATCATCACAGTAACAAAGCAAGGCTTGAAATATCTCACTTAGCATAGAATGAGCCTATCATATATCAGTTTCTCATGTTAAGTTCAATTACTGAAATAAATGAACCTTTTCACCATATTCTATTTTTTCAAGTTTCATCTGACCCAAAAATCATAAGTTCTGTACTCTTGTGCTGTTTAGTTGCATCGTTAAAACAAGAAGGTTGCTTTGCTTACCTATCGTCCCAAATGAAGCCTCGACTGCCCCGGTGTAAGTAAAACAGTTGCTGGTCTGAGAACAAAATGGTGTTTCAATCATTAAACCGCTTCAGAGTTCAACCCTTACAAGTCTGACTAAAGAGACTACATCTGTCGTGTTACTGATCTAAAACTGTACTGATGCTAATCTAAAGAGAAACAGCACAACAAAAACATATTCACCAATCCAGACATAGCTACTGACCGTCTGTCCTCACCTTATAAGAAGATGCTGCTCGACGCATCGGTGACATTTGTCTAATGGGATCATCCTGAAGAAGCTCGTCTGTAGGAATAGATGGCAGCCTGGAGCCGAGGCTGCCCTGTCCTGAGGTCGTGGCAGCAGGAGGCAGCGTCAGTGCAAATCCCAGACTCTCTCTGAGGCCGTCCCTGCTGCTGTCTGGAGTTCTTGTGGAGAGAGAAGCCAACAACTCAGAGGTGTTCACAGACCCTAGTGGCTCCTTACAGGCTTGGTTTGCCATCTTCGTTATGCTTCTTGCTTCTCTCTTAGAGATGTGTTCTGGTCGTTTGCCGGGTGACTCTATAACACCGCGGCGGCGCAGAGGATGCGTTGATACGGAGGCTGGGGGGTGAGGGGATGTGCCGCCTGGCTTCACTGAGGACTGTGCTTGTAGGTTAGACAGTAAAAGTGTGGAGTCGAAAGGCTGAGGCAGCAGTCTGGTGGGGGATGGCTCGGGGGCGGGGCTCATTAGGGGGGAGGGCGGAGTGAGATGCACCGATGTGTTGTCAGCTCTGCTGGTGAGTGCATCACTTGTGCCCAGTGACCATGGACTGATCGGGGAGGGGGTGTGTGGCAGCTGGTGCTGAGCCCCGATGTCAAGAGGCTGACGACCTCCCTCATGCTGAATGGATACATCAAGTCTTAGAGGGTCTGAAAAGTCCCCGAACGGTGCACCTGACTGTGTCGACGCCACGAGTCCTACTGGCTCCTCTAACAAACTCAGGCCCACCATCTCCGCTGAAGGCTCAGCTGGGTCGAAGGGGGCTTCTGGTGGACCTCTGCTGCACAGTGGTGAAAGCTGAGGATAAACACAGTCCCTCATCAGCTTGCTGCCTACCTCCATTCGGGACACTTTGGGAGGAGGGAGGATCTTTGTAAAAGATGGGTACGTCTCCCAGGGTTCCTCCTCCTGAAGCATGTAACAAGATGGTGACAAGAACGAAGGAGGAGACCGCCTGGGGATTGTGAAATGGGCCGGGGTTGCAGCAGGCGGTGGAGAGGGGTCTATAGATTCACTGTCTACAATCGGAGGTAGCGGGGCATTCGTCTTCCAAGGCTGGTTGATCTGTGAGAGAGAGCGAAAGAGACGGTGATGGTGTCGTACGCTGGAAGATCCAAGATGGCTGCTGGGATGAGGGCCAACAGGGGTGCAGGGTTTTACTTTAGCAGATTTCTGAAAAATAAAAAAGGCTTCAGTTATTGAACAAAATGACATTGTTTATATTTGCTGAAATTTCCCTCATCCTGTTGTCTGCATTAAAATCACATTTTAACTACTAAACAAACGATTAGTCAAAGCAGTGAGCGATCACTAACGGGGTTCCAGGAGGATTTCTGTACCTTTTTGTTAAGGTTCATACTCTCCATCTTGGCTTTGAGCAGCTTCATTTTAGTCATGGTGATGGAGTTCTCGAGGTTCTGTTGTGCAGCTGCAGGACTCGCTCCATCCTCCTCCGCATATGCATTATGCACAGAGCCACCACTGAAAAACACATTTCTCCTTAGCAATCAAACTCAAATAACAGTTTGCTATATTCACTAGTAGATGTGGTTTTATTAGATAAAAAAACAAACAAAACAAAAGGAAACATAATTTACTAACCTCAGAGACTCTGAGAGAGGTGTTAAAGCACCATCTCCTCTGTCGAGCACTTGGAAGAAATTCAGCTGCTCTCCATCTCGATAGACCACAAACGTGACCTGCTTGTTAGTCAGACTTCTCTCCCATCCCTCGTCTTTTGAGCTCTCCATGAGGTCAGCCACTTCTTTGATAGGGTCCTCCAAGGTTACTAAGGATACGAAAGAATAGACACGTGACTCATATTTAGATAAAAAGTTAAATGTGCACATTTCTGACATGTTTCTTACCTCTCCGGGTGTTGATCGGGCCCCCCCTCATGGCTAGAACGAGTTTCAACGTGCAGCCCTCTGAAATGCTGCAAACACAAACAAAATTAACAGCTACAAACATGAATGCTTTAATAGCAGAGTGGTCTAAGTGTGAAGTAGATGCTCTGGTTTTAGGTAAACATTTCAGGGGATCAGATCCAGATGAATCCGAGTACAGGACTGGCAATTGCTTTGGAACAGCAGTTACACACGAGCAGATGCTTCCCTGTTCTCTCTCTCGATCTCCTTCTGCTCCCCAGAATCTGCAAAAGCACCATGCAGTGTGATAGAAGAGCTTCTCACAAGAGGCTGTTCATGGGACGGATTAAGTGACAATCACTCCGAACAAAATCACCATCTGCAGCTAGCCGGAGCATCGGAGCGGTGAATTCTGCAAGTCAGAAAATGACGAGAGCGGAGGAGCAACTTCTCCAAATACGACTAGGATGCCGCATGTCTCGCTGAGCCCTGTGTCCGTGCTTTATTTACAACACTTCCTCTAGGACAGCGAGGGACCTGCAAATGATTTTCAGTGTGATTCGGCCAAGGTGTTGGTGCTCTGAAGGACGAGATGTGTTGGGGAAGAATATTTACCCGTAATCATGAAGGCAATGGTCATCATCCAGCTCTACACCATTCCAGATGAGATGCTGCTGGGCCACGGGGATGCCTTTACACCGTCGGAGAGAGCGAAAACAAACAAAGCAACCTGAGTTCACGAGGACAGGGTCATACGCCATTCACCAAAGTCACTAATCTGACTCACGCCATAATAAGTGAATCACGTCTGCCCCCTAAAGACTGAATTTAGCACTGGGTCAAAACAAGCCAATCTCACAGCAACAAAAAACTGTTTAAGTAAGAAGATTAACATCCTTAAAGTGGGAGAAGTTCACCAATGTTTGAAGACTTGCAGACAGAAACTAGAATCATTATGGTTGTAGGAATGTTGTGTTTAAAAGGCATAAAAAAAGAATGAATCAAAACAGAAACTGAAGAAGTAGAGAGTCTACAAAATACAGAAACTCGAAGTCTTCTGGTTGGACTGAGACGAGGTGTGTGTGTGCGTGTGCGTGCGTGCGTGTGTGTGTGTGTGTGTGTGTGTGAGTCAGTAAGCCCACTGACTCTGCTGGAGAGCCATGACATCATTGTATGAGCAGCATTTCCTTCACTGCAGAGCTCTCTACCTCATCTAAATCATCTCCAACTAAACTCGTCTCACATGGAGCAAAGAGGACACGCTGACAGAAACCAGCAGAGAGACACGTAGGCACCAGGTCACCTCGGTCTACAAAAACAAAATAACCTAGAATGCTGAGACCAACAGGAAGACGAGAGGAAAATGTGCGCTGCACCATTAACCATCACATCTTGCTCGGATCTCCTTTAAGGAAAAATGTGAATTTTCATTCATTTGTTCCAGTTAATTCTAAAGGTACAATTTAAAATGTTTATCTGTCCTGCAGAATACAGCTTGTTTAAACCCACAACATCAACTTAAGAATAAACTACATCATTCTAAACAGTTTCTTGCTCAGAGCTGTCTCAGTTGTGCCCACATTTATATAAAAAGGGGTAAGGTTGTCCAGTTAGAGGCAAATAAACATTAAGCTGAACGTTAATGTCTTAGAAATTATGTTAAAAATAAAAACCAGACTTTGGTTTTTAAAGAATAAATAACCAACAATAACATTTTTAAGGTAGTGGGAATTTTGAAATAAGAAGTCTTTATAATTCTGCTTGAATCTTTGTTATAAGAACTGATGTATGATACTACATAGAGATAGATCAATAAATACATCAGTCGGCCAATAATTATCATTTCTTATTTTTCACCATCAGCAAACATCAGCAGCCCGTTGTTGCTGTCTAATTTTATTTGAATGTTTATTTACGTTCCTGCTAAATAAATGCTCTCAAACATTATTGCCAACTTACATTCCATTATTTACCCGTTTCCTAAACTTTGGTTAAGTATTTGATTTTAATACCGAGCCTTGCACAGAGTTAAGACCAAACGGTCGGTTAACTTCAGGGTCAGAATGTTGTGCGTCTACTGTTGTTAGTGCTACAATTCAGCATGCAGACACGGTGGAGTGTTTGAGGAATTGGTCTAAAAAAAAAAAAAAAAAACCAGCAGCACATATCAGGCCATGACCTCTACATATCAGTATCAGCTAGAGGTCAACCAATATCAGATTTTCTGTTGCTGATACTGACACGGTCAGCCGATGGACGATACGTACTGTCAATTTTTAAAGGCTGATTTTAATGACCGAAATCTAGACCATTTCCACCTTATTTTCATACTAAAATGTCACTAATGACATCAGTTGTTGCACAAAATTTCAGAAGCTGAATCAATTTTCAAACTCTGATTTTAAACAGCTGTTAAATCTTCTTTATTTGTGCTCTTCTCAGTGTCAAAGTCAGCCACTTAAAGTTAATTTAGAACTTTTATCATGCAAACGTTATTAGTGAATTTAAAAATACATTCAGCAGCAGCAGCACCAGGTTGCCCGAGGATGTGCCTGACTCAGCTGTCATAACGACAAACATTGTCTGATGCAGATGTATAAAAAAGACAAACAAATATTGGCGTGACATATCAGTATCGGCAACAGAAAAACTGATATCGGCCAATCTCTAATACACCGTTATACTTTGAGGTCGTTAGATGTTTTGAATCCCAATAGATGTACAAACATATCTTCCCCCGGTACAACAAGGGCGGTTTTGGAGAAAAATGGTCCAAGAATGGACCAATCTAAAAAATATATAGCCCGACAGTAAAAATTATCCTCAGTTTGGTAAAAAGTTGAATAATTCATAATCTAATTCTGGTAGTGAAATGATGGGAGCCATCGTGTTTGTATTATTACTGTCATTCTGTTGTGGAAACTCCATGCAAGTAGTCCTAAAATGCTAAAATGACCCTTTTTCTATTGAAAATGTAAATATAAACATTATTTAGATTCTCATTAGTTTTGATAAAACCTACGAAGAGAATTGAAAATCCACATGTGGCATCAGAGCCACAGCATACAGACTGGGATTGGGTAAAGTTGGGGCTAAAGTTTTTCCCCCCCAAGCTGTGAAAGTAGAACACTACTTGCTTTGAAAAAAAATGGCTATTTTTCTGTGTACGGCGTATGATCTGTGGGTTCTCATCTGTTAGTAAACCACCGTTTTATAAAAAAAAAATGAAACAGTTTATGTGATTCGTTAGAGCTGGGCGATATAGCCTCAAATCTATATTGCAATATAATCTGAAGCATGTGCGGTAACGATATATATTGCGATTTATTTTTTCCTCTGTTTATATACGTCAAAATTACATGCTTTTAAATATCCTCATGTGGCAAATATATGACACTTGAGGCATATTAGCCGCCTCCTCCACCCACTCCATGCTTGCAGTCACTGCCATTCTGTTGCCCCAATGACAGCAGGGTGCACATAGTGATGTCACGTGTTATCGCGGTATTGCGATATAGCCAAAAACTATTTTATTTCGTTTCTACCTTATATCGTTTATATTTCCCACCCCATGATACGTCACAACAAATCTGTTAATTTCACCATCTGTGCACTAACGTGACTACTAAAATAAATAAATAAATACAGAAATCTGTACCTTCCAGCCTCTGGATCTTCACTTTTACTGAAATGACAGCTTCAAGAGGCAACACACGCAGCTCAAAACAAGTCCCTGTCAGGGTCTCTATGAAAAGTTCCATAGTATCAAAAAAGGGAAGCTTATACTGAAAAGCTCCCACACTATCGTCGTTGAAGAAGGGCGGCTCCTTCCTGTTGGTCATCTTGGCCGGTTGGGAGAGAGACTTTAGGATGTCAGTGAAACGGGGAGGCTGGCCCGAGACGATGGAGAGGGGGAACGTTCACTCGCCTTATTACTGCCACACATCGTGTAGGATGGCTCCAGCTGACGGTAAATACAAAAATAAACAAACACAGATGGTATTACTGGAAATGTAATCAAACAGTGTTTTTAAAACTTGAATCATTTATAAATTACGCTTTTTGTAAATCCAAGGCCCATCTCCAGTGGTGGCAGAAAAATGCTAATTTCAAATAAAATATTCAGACTACCATTAAAGGTCCTCCTTAAAAAGTCAAGCAGCTCCAATGTGTTCAGAAGACAATCCAAGGATTAGGTGTCTGACTACAGCCTTTGACATCATCTTGAGTGTCACTTGATTAAAAGAATGTGTTACACAGCAAGGAGGACAGCTCGGGTCACACCTACATTTAATAAGAGTACAACTGGCTCAAACTATTAGGAATATATGGTGCTGCATTTTAGATGAGCAAAACGCTGATGTTTTCAAACTAATTTTGATTAATAACTGATGCATGCATGTGCGTGTGTGGGTTTTGGGGGGGGGGGGGGGGGGAGACAAGCACTAAGACATTTCTCAAATTCAGATGGCAAATGTAGCTAAACTGATGAATAACGCAAACCAGATACAGCCATTCTGTTATTGGACATATGTTTTGGACAACAGCTGATTCTTAAAATCCCATCAATTCTTAATTTTGCTAAAATAATTACAATAAATTTTCTTGGAAACTCATTATTTTTTTAATGTAAAGGTTGGAAGCAATAATAGACCATGCCATCACGTGACTAAAATGATTATGATGAGTCTTGAGAAAAAACAAATTATATTATTTTTACAATAGGGCTGTAATCACTTGTCTGTAATTTGATTTGCATGAGTCCTGCAAAAGCGACTGACCAAAACAGAATTATTCATTTTATACACAGCCTAAATAATTTAGTTTACGCGCTGTAAATACATAAGTGTTTATTTACTGATTTGATGCTCTGAAATTAGACCAATCCAATATACTAATGATGAACTATCCGGTTGACTGGTGTCCATGATGGGATGGGACGGCCTTTCTGGATTGCAGAGATGAAAGGGTTGGGGCAGTAGGGTATCTTTTAAAATAAGCGATTTGGCTACTAAAGTTCTAAAAACCGTTTTGGACCAGCTGTTAAGTGCATTTAACCCTCTGTGGCACGGAGGTGATCCGCTGCACAGCAGCACACTAACGGAGGCTAACGTGAAGCTATCTGCCAAACAACGGAGATGAATGGAGTTCAGGTCGTGTCATCATTGAGCTTTGAAAAGCTCAATGATAGAACAATTTGGCACAAATTTAATTTTAGAAAAATAAATTATTCACTCCAGTTATACGCGCTTATTTATCTATTTAAACCCACTCACCGTTACGCCAGTTTAGCCGACGCTTGCGTTGCCATGATGATAGCCAGCAACTCAAACAATGGCTTCCTTTTACAGCGAAGGGCTAGCAGGATGCTAGGCTACATCCAAAGGCTTCAGTTTCCTTCGTCTCGTGCGCCCGTCGAGGGCAACGGCTCAGTGGTAAGCTACAGCACATTTAACCGTTAAAACTATACGAAAGAACTAAAAGAACCTGTGACCGTGGCGAGTCTCCGTTGTCCCTTAGTCGGGGACATCGTCCTACCTGTCAGAAACATCCGAACAACACCTTCATGACTACGATTTGATGGATAAACAAAGGAACCAATTGAGAATGCTGATGTAGGCGGGACATCAAGAAAAGTGTCACCCACGTGATTCTGCACGTGACAGCACAATTTTTTTCACGTACTTGCTCGAATATTAATATTTTTATCATCAGATTTTAACCAGTAAAAATGTACATGTCACCGGAATACGTGAAGCAGTTTATTTTTTGTGTTTAATAATACACAGTAAAAAATGATTTACTTGTTAAGAAGAAAAAAACGTTTTTTTATATAGCGCCTCTCAAGACAAAAATCACAAGGTGCTTCACTAAGAACAAAATAAAAAAAATTAATGGAACAAAATAAAATGAAAAAAAAAAAACAAACGGATAAGAAGAATGAATCCAGTGACAGTGGATTAAGAGTCATGGTGCCCAAATCTGTAATGCATTTGGGGGTAATGATTATCATGGACCTAGTTTTGACTTTAGAGAGAGAGAGAGAGAGAGAGAGAGAGAGGGGGGGGGGGGGGTCTTTACAGTGAGTATAGAAATTATGCATAAAACTACAGCCTAGATGCTCTTTTATGCAATGTCAGGAATGAAGAGTGAAGTTCAGAGGTGGCAGTAAAACAAAATATAATTAATACTTTCAATTCAACTTTGTTTTTTTACCTCATTTGTCATTTTCATTCCCACTCGTTTTAATATAGCGTAACATTGTTTTTGGATGGTAAAAAGTGCAGAGGACAAAAATTGGCTTTGGAAAAAGTGTGTGTGTGTGTGTGTGGAGAGGGGGTCATGTCCCCCTGTCCCCGCCCGCCAAAATTACGCTCATGATTATAATAGAACAGGAAAATACTCAGCTAAAAAAATAAAATATTAAATTAAAAAAACACAACTCCAATAAACAGTGTTCAAAAACAGATCTGTTATGGTAGACTATAACTAAATGTTTCAGATTGTTTTTAACAGTCAATAACAAACCTGAAACGATTACACATTTGTCAGATAAAATATTCTTTTTTATTTTCTTTTTAGTTATTAAAATTGAGCTTTTGCTTTCATACAGGCAAAGTTAAGAAAATGAATGAATTTCTGAATAAAAAAACAGTCAGAAATGACTAAGACAAGAAGTACATTATGGCACAAAAACACGAAATCCCACAAGGCAAAGTCAAGGAACTGAAAGAGAAAAAAATATTACTGCTGAATTTCTGCAGGCCTCCAGGCTAAAGTGCTGTTATGTATATTAATGAATAATACATTTTATTAACTATGAAGCAAAGATGATTAGGAAGGCTGTTTGACCATGAAACGAATCATAAACATTTGTGTTATCAGCCAAAAATAAGCCACAGTATTGATTTGAATTTATAGCAATAAATACTCTTATCCACAGTGTATCCAATATCGCTCAGGTGAATCTCTCAATTATAAACAAATATATCCACAATTTTACATATTTGGACATTTCAAAACATCAGTTACCACCTAAAGCATTTAGTGGGTCATCAAAAATGTTGCTGGAATCGGCCGATGTACTGATTTCCTGGGATGGTGGCCTTTTCTTTGATTCATTGGGAGCCTTTGTCCCGGGTTTTACTGTGCTTGTTGAGAAAATGTCATCTTTAAAGAACAAAAGGAGTTTAAAACATTTTAGTTAGATATGGAAGATTCAAAAAGGTACAACTTAGGACATAATAATGCATCACTCTTCCATAGATACTTACCCATGGCATCGTCGAATATCGACTTTGCCTCTCCCTTCATCTTGGACTTTTGTTTTGGTTTTACAGTGTCCATCAGGTCGGCAAAAATGTCTATGTTGTCATCAAACAAGTCGACATCAGTGGATTTCTCTTTCTTCTGAACTTTAGGCATGGTGGCTGCTTCATCCTGCAACAGAAACCCAGTCAGAAGGAGACCAACTTAAGCCCAGTAGAAGAAAGCAGACAGACTGAGACCAAAAGTAAAAGCTACCTGAAAAATGTCCTGTTTGGAAAAACTGCTGCTGGTCTTGACTTCTTTGTGACTTTTGGATGTTGGTGTGGAGCTGCTGTTAAGTCCAAAAAGGTCATCGTCTTCATCTTCAAAAAAGGACGAGACCTGAGCAGGCTTCTTTGAGGCTGCTTGTGGCTTAACGGTGTGGAAAAGGTCGTCGTCGTTGTCATCAAAAATAGATGGAAGTGTGCTTAGATCTCTGTCCTCTGCTACCCCGCTACTGGCCTGGGGTGGACTGGGCTTGGTAGATTCTCTAGTAGGCTTGTTAGTGACCGATTTTACCCCAAAGAGTCCATCGGGACCAAAGAGGTCGTCGTCATTATCATCATCCGAGAGTGGCGGTGCCTTTGTAAAGCTGCCGTCCTTCCTGGACTCTTTTTTGACATTCGTTGTTGCTGGCAGTGTGAGTTCAGAGGGTCTGGGGGAGTTTTGGGAGGACTGTGCAGGTGAGGGCGTTGGCAAGGCTGAAGGCGCAGCAGAGTTAGACGACGGAATAGTTTGGCGAGACTTTTCAGGAGGAGGTAGGACTAAACTATTGAGGCTAGATGTTGGCCCAGAACCATCTTCTAGAGTCTCCCCTATATAGTCCACAGACTTTTGAACTGCTTGCTGCCTTGCTGCTCTGGACTGGGGTCTCCGAAGTGCAGAACCTTTTACGCGGCCCTGCATTGGGTGGGATAATTGTTAACATCATGTGCTAACATTGCAATAGAATGTTGTGTCAGCCTCTGGGGATGTAAAACCCACCTTGAGCGTGCTCACCAGGGTTGTGACCTGGACTGGTGTGTCGAAGCTCACCGCTCTTTCGTTCTCCGCCGGAGTCTCGATGGGGGTGGAAACAGGGCTGGGACTCATACTGGAGCTGGACACCCCAGAGGAAGAACTCAGAGCCCCCGACATACTGGGACCGGCACCAGGGAGCAAAGCAGCTGGGTCGATCATCAGACTGGCCTGAACGTAAAAAGAGGCTCACTTTTCAGGGTAGAAGGCGCTACTCTCCGAGATCCATCAGAGCATCAAAAACATCATCTAGTTCTCACCAGGCCTTTAAATCTAGTAAGCACAACCTCCCACTTCATCACATTAAAATGATGCACTCTAGTGTTTGTAAATAGAGAAATCCTTCTCAGATTATTGTGCAGCAACAATCGCTTCTCTACGATCACTTCTGAGTGCTGCAGATCAGAAAACTGAGCTGCACAGATCGCTTATCAGCATTTTTTCAAATAAAACACCCTGCATAGTTGTTCATCTGAAGCAGTGTTTTCTTAATTTGTGACCCCAGTGAGAACCACGTTTGTTTTCTTAAAGGGACTATATCATGCAAAAAGTACTTTTTGGAGCTTTTGATCATGTTTTATTGTAATTTCCTCAGTCATTCACTGCCATTGATGACACGTCGTCATTTGCGTGTTTTTACTGTGTGGGCGTCAGAACGAGCCCCCGCACCGTGAGAACAAACACCCCAGCTCTAAAGCTGATCTTCATCTGCGCATGTCACGTGACCAGGAAGCCGAAAATCCACGTGTTAGGAGATCGTTTTGGGCCGCTGCTGTAAAAAAAGTGTGGTGCGAACCAGAAAAGTTTCTGCCGATCACAATTCGACAACGGATAATGAAAGAACGGATAACTCTCAAAATATGCGGATTCTTCCTGATGTAAGAGGTGAGTCTACTCTTTGTTTTGGTAGTTTTGGCATTGACATCATCCTAGCGCGCAATGTTCTGTGACTCTTAAAAAAAACAGTGAAAATGCTGAAAAACGCTGGCAGCGAAGGGCTTTACTGATCAGGAAACGGCTGGCAGTGAATGAGTTAATCTCCACAGTCGTGAAGAAGTGATCTAGTCTGCACTTTAAATAATACATAGAACACAAAAATGCATTTTTGTCTGCGAGCAATACTGGATCCCTCTCCGGTCTTCCTGCAGAAGAGTTTAATCAACGGAAATGGTTGCATTACATCTTCAGGAGCTCTCCAAACCCAAGGTAGAATGTGACCGTGATTTTGCAGACTGCTTGTTAAATTCCACCACTACTGGAGTGGACTTTCAGCCATTTTACTTCTTCAAACCAGCACCATTCCAACAATAAAACCACCCGATAGAGGCCTGGGCAGGGAGTGCAACCAAAACGTCAACCACCAGCTAAATAGTTATAAAGTTTAGCGAGTGAGCATCAGGGACGGACTGGGTCAATAATTCATCCCAGCCACCTTTTTCCTGTCTGATTTGTGTGTGCATCTCTGCTACAAGTGTGAATTTCCAGTCTCTGGGTCTGCAGCTGTGCACTGGGGGACTTCATGTGGGTGGAGGCAAGGTTTCATCAATCGAAGCATTTTATTTCCATTTTTAAGTAATGAGTCACAAAAATAAAAAACTGACATCTCATCAGTGCCAATGGTAATATCTGATGATATGTTGTGCCTATCGTTGCTCTGGAAGATGTAAAACAGCACGGTACAGGTCTTTTAAAACTACACATTTGCACCAACTCTCTGCTCGTGAAGTTCTTCAAACACGATTCCAGAACGCTAAATGTTCAGAGAAACCAGGACGGAAGATGGAAATCGTGCAAAGGCAAAAAGAAAGTGAGTAAAAACTCCTGAAACGGCAAAAGGGAGTGAGAAATTTCTTCGAGGAGTAAAAACAAGTTGTTTTTACACAAAGTTAATCTACTAAATAGCAGCCAAAGTTTATAAAAATGGAACAAAAAAAAAAAAAAAGACAGAAGGATGAAACATTTGAGAGGCAATAAAACAGATTTCTTTAAAAGAAATCAGAGACATGTTAGTATTAAAGATTTGAGTCAGTAAAAAAAAAAAGATCAAAATTACTTGAAGTTTGCCAATCCTTGATGAGGAATCTTTAGGTTTTACAGGACTTGGTGCAGGCTTCTGTGTGGTCAAATTACAGCAGGATCAGAATTTCTGGTGTTAAACTGGCAAACGACAAAATCTACTGCAACATAAATAAAAACGATGCAACAAAAGCAAACAAATATTCTTCAGCCGTATGGGTTTGGGTGTGTGTGGAAACCAACCTGGATCTCTGACACCGGTTCTGGGCTTGCAAGAGGCGCTTTGTCCTGAGGTCTGCTTGGTTTCTCTGCCACTTTCTGGAAATTCAAATCAAAACCTTGTTAGGTTGTTTTCTGCAGTTGGTCAGCAGAAATCCAGCCTCCTCAAATCGTTTTCCTAACGGCTACCGGAGGTGGAGGCTTTGACTTGACGGAGCTGAAAAGGTCGTCTTCATCGTCGTCTGAAAACAGACTCTGAGCTGCTGGCTTCACCGAGCTGGCTGCGGAACTCTACAAAAGAAATGTTTTATGTGGTTCATTTTAAAAAGCATTTCGATTGCTGATAAAAAACTTGATCAATTAAAAGAGAAAACAGAAATGAAGACAAATGAAAATAGCTCTTCTACTGACTGCAGCTGTTTCTGAGGTTGCAAAGAGGTCAACGTCTGGGTCGTTGTCCTTCTGCTGCGTCTGACTGAACAGCAGCTCTTCGTCCTGGAACACTCTGGTGCTTTTCAGCTGCGGCCGCTCTTCTGCAGACTGCAGGAAAGTTTTCATCAGAAGAGAAAAAGCCGCAAAATAAAGGAATAAATAAATAAAGTTTTTCTACAAAACAAACCTTTTGCGTCTTCTTCGTCGTGGCCTGACTGGGAACGAACAGCGAGTCGCTCCAATCCACCTCTTCATCATCTTCTTCATCACCATCATCGTCAAACAGACTAACAGCATTAGCTTTTCCCTTCACTTCCTTATTTTCCTCCTCAGTTGGCGGTGGTCTTTCCTTTGAGAGGAAGACGTCATCGTGATCATCTCCATCCAGCGGAGTCTTTGTCAGCGCGTCAAGAACGTCGATGCCGCCGAAGAGGCTGACTGCTCCTGCGGGCTTCTTTCTACTCGTGGCACCCTCCTGCGATGGCGAAGTAGGAGGAGGCTCAGGGGTTTCTGCAGGCTTCTGCTGCTCATGTCGTTTATCATTTCCCAACGTCTTAGGAACAAAACCTTCTTTATGCGAGGGGGATGGCTCAGAGGTGGCATGAGGTGTCTGGGAAACACAGGTAATGAAATGACTCGTTGTCTGCCGACGTTCTCAACGTCACAGAACATTTTCTTTAATCACCAGAAGTAAGAAATATACTAGAAACATGTTCAAAAACCCACTTTGGATGGAGCTTCAGTATTAAACGCAGGTTTGATGCCAAAGAGAGAGCCTCCCTCTTCATCGTCACCTTCATCTTCAAACAGAAGAGCCACCCTCTGAGGTTTCTTCTGACTATGAGGAACAGAAAAGGGCAAATGATGATTAAAACAGTTAAGTTGTGCAAAAATATTCAGATTATTATTTCTTCATCTGTAAATACTTTGAGTCTTTTGCTGAAGCAAACAGATCCTCCTCCTCCTCTTCATCAAACAGGCTGCTCTTTTTAGGTGTTTTGGTGCTTGGGAGCCCAGATGGCACACTGGTGCTTGTTTTTATCCCCTCTGACTTGGTGTCTGGTTTCTTTTTTGAACTCATCCACTGGTCCTGCTGACCCAAATAATAATGCACCAAAGTAAATATCCAAGTAAACAAAAACAGCGTGCAGGAAAACATTACTTTTTTTTTATCTACTTTTGTACCTCATCATCACTGAAAAGTGAGCTGCTGGGTTGTGGTTTGGAAGATTTCACTAAATTAGGCTTTTCTTTTGATTTAGCAGCAAATGCAAACAGATCCTGCAGATGAAGAACAAGGTTACGATTATGCACCGTCATCAAGAGCACAACGTTGTTTATTTAACTGTATAAATTCAGTCACCTCGTCTTCCTCATCGTCGAATATCGACAAGGAAGCCTTGCTGGTTTTGCCGAGGCTCGTAGGTTCAGGTTTTAACCGGCTTTTCGGGGTGGTTGGAAATAACTACGGAAGGCAAAAACATACATGATGTAATCCCAGTGGGAGCCCAGCAGGAGCATGCTCGAAAACAGTTCCACTACGCCGACAGTCCATAAACGTCATGTAATGTAGGTTGCAACTGGATCTTTTTTTCAGGCTTCCCCTGGGTGTGTCAGTTGAGGGCTTTGGGAGGAGCTCACCACCCTTTCAGGGGAGCTGAGCTCCCCCTTGTAGCCCGAGTACGCTAATATAATGATTAGATTTAGCATCAGTGTTTGCTAGCGTTACCTGCGGCTCTTCGTCGTCAGAGAAAAGGCTGCTGGTTTGATGTTTGTCAGTTTGCTCAGCAGAAGCTTTTCCAACAGCAGCAGTAACAGGAGCATTCTGCAATCCACATTATACAAACCAAAAGATCAGAAGCTTTCTCTGCTTATAATTACTAACAGAATAAGGATTTATCAAACAAAAACAGAATAATTACCAAAAAAAAAGTGTTAAAAGGACAGAATCATATTTTTAAGTAAGCTAAAGATCATTGTAACGACGTAAGACCAGTAACGTGTTACTGAAATATGTGACTGGAGCAGAATAGACAAGGACTGGACTCTTAAAGTGACTTTGTGTATTTTCCCTGGCAATAGGGACAATCATTGCAAAAAAGCATTATTTTTGTTTCAAATAAGACCTTACCAACGGATAGCCATTAGGGTCAAAAATCCCCAGGAGTGCAACCTCCAGCAAAATAACAAGCACATCAGACTCCCTCTTATCACTGGCAACGAGCGAAGAGGTAAATGTGTAAAGCGTTTATTAATGGTGAAAGTTTTGTAACCATTGGTTACAAATCAGTAAATGCATTTTGTCCTCACGAGCTCCCGTAGAAGCATCCAGCCGCTCAGACTTGGACCAACTCCCATTTTTATGGTTATATGTTATGAGACCTGCATCTTTTAATTCATTTATAACCACAGTTTGACGGCTATTTCCAGAGATTAACGGTAAAAAATACACATTGTCACTTTAATGCAGAAATGAATTTTGGAATGTTTGCATAATTGCTAATTAAGTATCATTAGATTTCTTAACGTTTCTTAATTTGTGTTCTAAAATGGAGAAAAACAAAACATTTTACTAAGCTTGTCCTTTATTTTGTTTTCCTGGTGCAAAAATAAATAAATAAATAAAAGTGTTCCTGCCATTAAATTCTAAACGAGAATAGTGGAATCACGTTCTATTATCATACCTATCTGAAGACTGTCACTCCAAAATGGCTGTTACTACTAACGCTGAAAGGAGCCTAGTTAGGTTGAAAACCAGCCCCTCTGTGTGTGAAAATACACCAAATTTGATTTAGTTGGGAGTAAATTAGTAAACTGTGGCATATTAAGACCTCGTCAGATTTGTTGGACTCCTCGCTGGTGGACAGCTGCCGTTTTTTCAGGCCCTCGCTGAGCAGGCTTTTAGTGGCGGGACCAAACATGGAGATGGCTCCAGGAGGCATCTAAAAGCAGCGATGGATGGTTTAACGAAGGAGCGCCTGGTTCAAAAGCAGAAGAACACCTAGAGTTTTATTCACCTTTCTCTCAGGAGGTTTCTCCTTCTCCTCAACGACCTCTCTCTGGGTCTGAGCGGGAGTCTGTATGCTGTGCTTGCTACTGAAGATGTCCCCATCTTCATCATCTTCATCATCAAACAGGTCAATGGGTCTTTTGGGTTTGGATTTCTCTTGTACAACTAAAGGAAACAAACGATCAAAGAAAGAAATAACCCAATAAAAATATTATTAATTTGATTCACTTACTAGAATCTGGCTTTTTCAGGCTTTTCTCACTGAAGAAGTCATCATCTTCCTCATCGTCATCAAACAGCCCACCTCCTCCAGCACCGCCAGCTCCTGTGGAAACATGTTTGGGGACAGCGATGGTCTTAAATGCTGATGTGCCATTCTCTTTCCTCTCCTCTGAATCAGACTCTTTACCCAAACTGAAGAGGTTGTTATCTGTCAGAGTATGATGAAACGGAAAAAATAAGAGAGAGACTGAGAGATCGAGAGACAGAGAGAGAGAGACAGAGAGACAGAAAGACAGAGAGAGAGAGACAGAGAAAGAGATAGAGACAGAGGGAGAAATCGAGAGACAGAGAGATCCAGAGACAGACAGAGAGACAGAGAGAGAAAGAGAATGAGAGACAGAGGCAGACAGAGATCAAGAGACAGAGACACAGAGAGAGAGATAGAGACAGAGAGAGAGATAGAGAGAGACCGAGAGAGAGAGAGACCAAGAGACAGAGAGAGATAGAGAGAGAGAGAGACCAAGAGACAGAGAGAGACAGAGAGAGAGATAGAGACAGAGAGAGAGATAGAGAGAGATCGAGAGAGAGAGAGACCAAGAGACAGAGAGAGAGATAGAGACAGAGAGAGATAGAGAGAGAGAGAGACCAAGAGACAGAGAGAGACAGAGAGAGAGATAGAGACAGAGAGAGAGATAGAGAGAGATCGAGAGAGAGAGAGACCAAGAGACAGAGAGAGAGATAGAGACAGAGAGAGAGAGATAGAGACAGAGAGAGAGAGAGAGAGAGACCAAGAGACAGAGAGAGACAGAGAGAGAGATAGAGACAGAGAGAGACAGAGAGAGAGATAGAGACAGAGAGACAGAGAGAGAGAGAGAGAGAGAGAGAGAGACCAAGAGACAGAGAGAGACAGAGAGAGAGATAGAGACAGAGAAAGAGACAGAGAGAGAGATTGAGAGAGATTGAGAGATAGAGACCAAGAGACAGAGAGAGAGATAGAGACAGAGAGAGAGAGATAGAGAGAGATCAAGAGAGAGAGAGACCAAGAGACAGAGAGAGAGATAGAGACAGAGAGAGAGAGAGAGAGAGACCAAGAGACAGAGAGAGACAGAGAGAGAGATAGAGACAGAGAGAGACAGAGAGAGAGATAGAGACAGAGAGAGAGAGAGAGAGAGAGAGAGAGAGAGACCAAGAGACAGAGAGAGACAGAGAGAGAGATAGAGACAGAGAGAGACAGAGAGAGAGATAGAGACAGAGAGAGAGAGAGAGAGAGACCAAGAGACAGAGAGAGACAGAGAGAGAGATAGAGACAGAGAAAGAGACAGAGAGAGAGATTGAGAGAGATTGAGAGATAGAGACCAAGAGACAGAGAGAGAGATAGAGACAGAGAGAGAGAGATAGAGAGAGATCGAGAGACAGAGAGAGAGAGAGAGACAGAAAGACAGAGAGAGAGATACAGAGAGCGAGACAGAGAAAGAGATAGAGAGACAGAGATTGAGAGACAGAGACAGAAAGAGAGATCGAGAGACAGAGATTGAGAGACAGAGAGACAGAGAGAGAGAGACACAGAGAGAGAGAGAGAGACAGAGAGAGAGAGAGACAGAGAGACACAGAGAGAGAGAGAGACAGAGAGAGACAGAGAGAGAGAGAGAGAGAGAGAGAGAGAGAGAGAGAGAGAGAGAGAGAGAGAGAGAGAGAGAGAGAGATTCCTGTTGCTGTTTTACTACCTGGGAATATTGACACGGCACCAGCTGGAATCTTCTTAATGGTTTTGTTAGATTCTGGACATAAAAGCAAAGCTCTCAGTCCGCTGCTTAGCTCTCCAAGAGCAAATGTATTTATCTTTTATCCTACCTTGGGTTTGAGCCGCACTTTTTATGCTTTCGTTCGTGTCTTTTTTCTCCTCCAATGCGGGTTTTGGCGCCTCAGAGAAGAGGTCTCCCTGTGTGGTGGATCATAAAACAACACAAATCAAAAACCAAAGGTTCTCTGGTGTAGAGATAAACAAATGATTCTGGCACCTCGTCATCATCGTCAAAGAGTCCTTTCCCTCTGCTGAAGAGGCCGCTTGTTCCTCCAAATAGAGAGAAATCCTCGTCGTCCAGCTTGGGAGGCTTAAACATGTCATCGCTATCCTCTTCAGCTGCTGCCACATAATATTAGACACAATTCTAACTAAACGAACCACTGTTAAATAACTATTGCAGCCTTTGAAAAAGATTTTAAAAAACAATGAAGAAAAAAAAACAGAAGGATGAGAAATGAGTTCCCTACCCTGTGGATTTGTTGGCTTTGGTTCTTTTCTGCCTTTACTCTTCTTTTTAGATGCCAGTGCTTCCAGAAAAATGCATGACAATTCAGATACAACTCACTTTTACTACAATTAAAATGTGCAATAAGTAAAAATGACATCTTGTGGTCAAATTTTGGTACTGCAGTCCATGTTTTAAAACAAACAAGGGACTCTCTTCCTCCCCTTTGTGACTTTCATGGTTGTTGCCATCTACGGCTCAGCTCCAGAAGATTCAACTTGCCTCCAGCCTTCTTTAACCGATATTAGAGGTAAATAAAAAGACGCTAAAGCTTCTTAGGGGTACAATAAATAACTTCTGGGTCGCTCCTTTTACTGGTTTCCATTCTGTCCACAACAATGCAGCTCTTTTCCGGCCGGTGTCGGATTACAAATGCCGGCACACACACGGCAACTCGTCTTCCTCCGCTTATCCGGGTCCGGGTCGCGGGGGCAGCATCCCAATTAGGGAGCTCCAGGCCGTCCTCTCCCCGGCCTTGTCCACCAGCTCCTCCGGCAGGACCCCAAGGCGTTCCCGGACCAGATTGGAGATGTAACCTCTCCAACGTGTCCTGGGTCGACCCGGGGGCCTTCTGCCGGCAGGACATGCCCGAAACACCTCCCCGGGGAGGCGTCCAGGAGGCATCCTGACCAGATGCCCAAACCACCTCAACTGGCTCCTTTCGATCCGGAGGAGCAGCGGTTCTACTCCGAGTCCCTCCCGAATGTCCGAGCTCCTCACCCTATCTCTAAGGCTGAGCCCGGCCACCCTACGGAGGAAACTCATTTCGGCCGCTTGTATCCGCGATCTCGTTCTTTCGGTCATTACCCAAAGCTCATGACCATAGGTGAGGATTGGGACGTAGATCGACCGGTAAATCGAGAGCCTGGCTTTCTGGCTCAGCTCCCTCTTCCCCACGACAGATCGGCTCAGCGTCCGCATCACTGCAGACGCCGAACCAATACGCCTGTCGATCTCCCGATCCCTCCTACCCTCACTCGTGAACAAGACCCCGAGATACTTAAACTCCTCCACTTGAGGTAGGACCTCTCCCCCGACCCGGAGGTGGCAAGCCACCCTTTTCCGGTCGAGAACCATGGTCTCAGATTTGGAGGTGCTGATCCTCATCCCAGCCGCTTCACATTCGGCCGCGAACCTACCCAGCAAGAGCTGAAGGTCAGAGCTGGATGAAGCTAGGAGGACCACATCATCCGCAAAAAGCAGAGACGAGATTCTCCTGCCACCAAACTCGACACACTCCACACCACGGCTGCGTCCAGAAATTCTGTCCATAAAAGTGATGAACAGAACCGGTGACAAAGGGCAGCCCTGGCGGAGTCCAACCCTCACTGGGAACAGGTCCGACTTACTACCGGCTATGCGGACCAAACTCACGCTCCTCTGGTAAAGGGACTGAATGGCCCTTAACAGAAAGCCACCCACCCCATACTCCTGGAGCGTCCCCCACAGGATGCCCCTGGGGACACGGTCATAAGCCTTCTCCAAATCCACAAAGCACATGTGGATTGCTTGGGCAAACTCCCATGCCCCCTCCATCACCCTTGCAAGGGTATAGAGCTGGTCCACAGTTCCACGGCCAGGACGAAAACCACATTGCTCCTCCTCTATCTGAGATTCAACTATCGATCGGACCCTCCTCTCCAGTACCTTGGCGTAGACCTTTCCAGGGAGGCTGAGGAGTGTGATCCCCCTATAGTTGGAACACACCCTCAGGTCACCCTTCTTAAAGATGGGGACCACCACCCCGGTCTGCCACTCCCTAGGAACTGCCCCCGATGACCACGCAATGTTGTAGAGACGTGTCAACCATGACAGCCCTACAACATCCATAGCCTTGAGATACCCAGGACGAACCTCATCCGCCCCCGGGGCTCCGCCGCTGTGTAGTTGTTTGACTACCTCAGCAACTTATGCCCCCGAGATCGGACAGTCCATCCCCAGGCCTCCCAGCTCTGGTTCCTCCTCGGAATGCGCATTGGTGGGATTGAGGAGCTCCTCAAAGTATTCCTTCCACCGTCCGACTATAGCCTCAGTTGACGTCAGCAGCTCCCCATCCCCACTGTAAACAGTGTGAGCGAGTTGCTGCCTTCCTCTCCTGAGGCGCCGGACAGTTTGCCAGAACCTCTTTGGAGCCGATCGATAGTCTTTCTCCATGGCCTCACCAAACTCCTCCCACGCCCGAGATTTTGCCTCGGCAACTGCCACTGCTGCACCCCGCTTGGCTATCCGGTACCTGTCTGCTGCCTCCGGAGACCCACAGACCAGCCACGCCCTGTAGGCCTCCTTCTTCAGCCTGACGGCTCCCCGAACCTCTGGTGTCCACCAGCGGGTACGGGGGTTGCCACCACGACTGGCACCGGCCACCTTACGACCACAGCTAGCAACAGCCGCCTCGACAATCGCAGAGTGGAACAAGGCCCACTCGGACTCAATGTCCCCCACTGCTCTCGGGACGTGGTCAAAGCTCTGCCGGAGGTGGGAGTTGAAGACCGTCTTGACAGGTTCTTCTGCCAGGCGTTCCCAGCAGACCCTCACTATGCGTTTGGGTCTGCCAGGTCTACGCGGCATGTTCCCTTGCCATCTGATCCAACTCACCACCAGGTGGTGATCAGTTGACAGCTCCGCCCCTCTCTTCACTCGGGTGTCCAAAACATACGGCCGCAGGTCAGATGATACGACTACAAAATCTATCATCGACCTGTGACCTAGGCTGCCCTGGTACCAAGTGTACCGATGGGCATCCTTATGTTCGAACATGGTGTTCGTTATGGCCAAACTGCGGCTTGCACAGAAGTCCAATAACAAAACACCGCTCGAGTTCAGATTAGGTGGGCCGTTCCTCCCAATCACACCCCTCCAGGTCAAGCTGTCATTGCCCACGTGAGCATTGAAGTCCCCCAGCAGGACAATGGAGTCCCCTGATGGAGCACTATCTAGCACTCGTCCCAGGGACTCCAAAAAGGGTGGGTACTCTGAACTGATATTTGGCCCATAAGCACAAACAACAGTCAGGACCCGTTCCCCGACCCGAAGGCGCAAGGAAGCTACCCTCTTGTCCCCCGGGGTAAACCCCAACACACAGGCAGAGAGTCTCGGGGCTAACAAAAAGCCAACCCCAGCCCTCCGCCTCTCACCCGGAGCAACTCCAGCAAAGTAGAGTGTCCAACCCCTCTCCAGGTCTCGGGTTCCAGAGCCAATGCAATGTGTCGAGGTGAGTCCGACTATATCTAGCCGGTACCGCTCAACCTCTGCCACAAGCTCCGGCTCCTTCCCCGCCAGCGAGGTGACGTTCCATGTCCCAAAAACTAGTTTTCTTGTCCGGGGATTGGACCGCCAAGGCTCCCGCCTTGGTCTGCCACCCGATTCGCATTGCACCGGACCCTTCATGTTCCTCCTGCGGGTGGTGGGTCCACAGTTGGACGAGCCCATGTATCCGGTTCGGGCTGGGCCCGGCCGGGCCCCATGGGCGAAAGCCCGGCCACCAGGCGCTCGCTCACGGGCCCCAACCCCAGGCTTGGCTCCAGGATGGGACCCCGGTAACCCTCCGGGCCGGGTACTCCGACTCTTCGTTTTAACCGCCATGAAAGATCCTTCGAACCGTTCTTTGTCTCACCCTTCACCTAAGACCAATTTGTCATGGGAGACCCTACCAGGGGCACTAAGTGCCCCAGACAACATAGCTCCTAGGATCATTAGGGCACTCAAACTCCTCCACCACGATAAGGCAACTCTGCATGCTCAAATATGATTGGCTCTGGAACCAAGAAGTATGGAGGCAGGACAAATTGTAAACATAGGTCCAATCCCAACACTTGCACCGCGCCCTGCAGCTTTCTGAGAAGTGCACTTGGAGGAAGTGGGAGGAAGACTTTGAGTGTGTGGTACAGAAGTGTAAAAATAATTACAGAACTGGGACAAGGAGCATTGAGTCATCAGCAGCAATGCATGACGTGATGCTGGTCACTGTTTTGTATTGTTTTGGCCACCTAAAAAAATAACTGACAAGATGGCGCCGGTGTGTAAAGCGGATGTCTGTCGCTGATAGTTTTAAGTGGTTTTGTGCTTTTATTTGTCCTTTTACACCAAAAAGTGGACTCTCTACTGGTGTACGATCGACAAACATTGTTGGATCTTCGATTTTCTGTTCCGACGAGGAATTTGCTTGCTCATAAAGAGTGGAAAACGTTTCTGCCGCCATTGCTGGAGCTTCCTATGGACCTGCATCGTGTTTCTGTGGTCCCTCTGCGAAAGAAACAACATAGTCGCCGCGGAAGACGCGGTGGGAAATTAGTTAAGTTAAAGGCCTATCTAAAGCTACGGAGTGAGAATTTGCCAAAGTCTGCATCAATGGTGCAAAAGGGGCATGGCCAATATCGCACCGATCACTCCGCTACCATTTCTCGTCAGTTATGTCAGCGGAGAAGGTAGGGATGGGGGAGGGGGTGATGACAACACTTAGCCTAGCGGGTGATCAAACAGCTTTATAAGCCTGGTGGCCCACCAGACATGCGAAGCATCTGTCCAACAGAGAAACATTTGATTGCAATCACACATGTACATAATGATTAAATATTTAATATTATGATATTTAAACTTAAAAATGCACATTTTTGTAGAAGGCACTTTCGCTGCTTTTTTGTTAAAATTCCCAAACAGCAATGGACTGTGGGTGATACAGTTCTCTAAAGCCCACACTAAGGCTTCGGCAAAGTGCGGATCAAGGATGCAAAAGGGGCGGGGCCAAGGTCCACACTTGAGCAATCGGGACACCCTGCACACTTGCACCACTGGATGGAAACACGTGATCTGCCTGTTTTCAGACTTTTGGAAAGGAGAAAAACTGAGAACCCACCAGCTGGCTGAGACTGAAAACCGCTTCAGTATAACCTTCCTTCTATTAAATAAATAAATAATGCATTTAATTTATAGGCGCCTTTCAAAACCCAAGGTCACCTCACAAAAACATGATAAACCTTACATGAAAATAAGAATAAGATCATTTAAATTTTGTAGGTACAAAGAATATACTATAAATTACAGAGTGGAGAGTTTGTGGACTAGAGAGTTTAAGCCAGTTTGGACAGGTGAGTTTTGAGTTTGGGTTTGAATGAGAGGAGTGAGTTTCAGAGTTGCCGAGGAGCAGAACGACTGAAAGCTCCGTTTCCAGTGGTGGTGAGACATGACTGAGACAGTTTTGGGATGTAAAATTCTCACTTATTGCACCTTTAAATTCGATGAGGTGTAGAAATGAAAAATTAAATTAGGAATGAAACACTTTTAAATGACGACTCACATGCGCGATCTTCCTCGGGTCTATTAAACGTTTCTCCTTTGATTCGAGCGGCAAGCTCATCAGCAAAGGATGAAGGCCCCGTGTTCTGTGATACGAAAAATACGTCAGGCTTATTCTGAAAAAAGACATTATTTTAACTCAAGCTACTGATTTCCTACATTTGAGTCATCGTTTTCATCCTCCTTGTCTGATCCAAATAAGTCAGAATCCTCCTCTTCCTCGTCATCCTCGTCTTCCTCATCATAACTGATCACAGATGACTTCTAGATGGAAAATGACATGTTTGCATAGAAAGTTATGCTAAATTAAGATTCTGAACCAACATGAAGACAAGATTACCTTCTTAATGTTATTGTGACCTTCCTGCTCCTCCTGGTAAGAGTCCTCGTCTGAATGCTGTTCACAAAATGCAGAAAGATATTTCTTTGGTTTTCTCAACAACAAAAAAGTGAACGAAGAGGGAAAAACACTCTTACAGCTTCTTCCTTGTCATCTTCGCTGTCGATCACACTGTCTCTGTCACTGTCAACCGACACTTCTAAAACAGAAATAAAATAAGGATGATAAACTCCACTTTGTGAATATCGTGTTCCAGGAAATGAACAAGCTTCTGTTGGATAATTACCATCACTTAACAGGTCACCAAGTCCTACATCGTCCTGTTCCATGAAGGACTGGGAACCAATCAGAGATGGAAGTGGTCTGTCCACGTAAAGATCCTAAATAAAAGACCAAAAATCACACAAAGAAATTTAACTTACAGCCTTGGGGACAATCTTATTTCATTTTTTTTTCCTTTTCAGCACACCTTGGGCTCCAGGATGAGCTCCATTTCTTCTGAGATGTCCTCATCCTCTGAGTCAGAGTTTCCTGCTTTGATGTCCAGATGCTCAAAGGCGGACTCCAGAACTTTCAGACCGTAGTTCACAGCTTCCTGCATCTTAGGGATCAGCTCTGCTTCTTTTTGCTCTCGAGTCTTCTCCTTCTGCTAAAAAAAAGTAAATAACTGTTGTAATATTTATGAAAATGAGGAGTTCGAACAGACTTTTTTCAGTGTTAATGTACCGGCTCAGGCTGCTTTTCTAATGCGTCAGCTTTAGAAATCGTCTCCTCCACTTCTTCGTCATACACTCTCTGTAACGAAACGCAACGGCAGAAAAAAGGTTTCTGTTACTGGAGTCCATGGTTAATGTGGAACATGAATATTTTTGAAAACATGCATTACGTTTTCTATGAACTGTGTGTTAGACAGCATCAGGAAGTCGTTGAAGACGGTGTGCAAGCGGCTGTCGGTGGCCTTAGTGTCACAGATGAGACTGTCCAGCTGCTTCTCAATCTCATGCGTTTTTGACAACATCCTCTGGGAGAAGTCTTGCAGGAAGTGAAAGAGCTGAGGAAAAAAAAAAGTCAGTTGCTACAAAGCACGTTTTGCAATCTTTCTGCAGCATTTCATCAATCCTCTGTTTGAAAGGCGTCAAGTATTAGTTCAGACTTACTCCGGAGTCAGCAGCTAAAGACCAGTTGGTGCTGTGCTGCCGGATCTCTTCAAGACTCCACGGCCTCTCCCAAATCTGAGGATATTCAGCAGAGTGTTTGCTCCTACTTGGGCCGTTTGCCACTCCATCCGGCAAAGCACTCATCTGCAATCGGATCAGTTGTTAGAAATAGAATTAATAATTCATACGGGCTTTGTAATTTGGTCAAAAACAGCAGATAGGAGCATCTCATTAGAGGAAAACTGGTTACGGCCTCCCCTTTGTAAATGATGCTGCCTAAATGATGCATGCAAAGTATTATAATTATGCTGCAATGCTTTTGTGACGTCATTATGTACAAAGGATGAATCAGAGCTGCCTTATATTTATGTCACCACACTGCAAATGCATCGATTATAAAACACAATTACTGATGCTTGTGAAAATATCGTGCACTGCTGCTCTGTTATGATTAAGTGTGGTGACTAAATAGTGGGTAGCATAAATCACGCATGCATCCTCCCCAGTTTAACGGCTAGTAAGAGCTTTAGCTCTAAGGTCAAAGGTAAAACAAACCAGAAAGAAAATCAAACCCTAAAGCTTACTCTTCCTGTGTGGTTTGCCCATGCTTTACAGAGGATTGTCGATTAGAATAAATTACAAAATAAAATGTCCTGAGAAAATCAAGAACGCGAACTTTACTCAAAGGCGCTCATAAATGAGTTGATCCTATGATCTCCTGGTGACTAGCTCCCAGGAGGGTCAATGAAATTCTCCCTGACTTAAATGTCCTTAAACGCCGCACCGCTGTTTAACTGGGTACAAGCTAGGCTTGGCGTTGCCTCTGCCTCGTTTAGAGAAACTTGCTACGTCTCTGTAAAGTTGTATAAATCACATTTTCTCAAATTCGTCGGGGATGGAAAAAAAAAAGAAAAAGCGGGGACTGTTTGGCTAGCAGCTAGCGCTTAGCACCACCACAGTCTGCCGCGGCTCCGAGACACTGACCGTTGCAACGAGCGCTCCCACGCTTACCTTGGATGGTTCTGGATAAACGCTGCCCGCGACGGTCAACTTTAGTCTCAAAGGACGGAAAAAAAAAAAGATCGATTATGCAAAATTTGGCCTTTCCCTCATTGGTCTTCTGACAGGTCGGCCATATTCTGTCTGCACAGTCACCTGACTGACGTTGCCTAGCAACTGGGTGAAAGTGGGGCGGGGTAAAACAGTCAAGGGGGCGGATCCAAACTGCTGATGTGAAGTTATGGTTCGTCTGTTGTGTCAACATGGTTTCCAAAAAGTCAAAGAAAGTTTCTTCATATTTACTGAATTCGTAATTTAATGACTACTCACTTTTCTCACTGTAGTTTTGAAATAATAAAGAAGTTGGCATTTGTAAACAGTTTATTTTTTGTACTTGGCAGATGCCTTGAAAAAACTAATTAAAACATAACTTCCCTAGAGGGAGAATTAAAAGGCAAGTCAGCACACACACATTTTTTTTTACACAATTACAAAAGACAGAGCTGTGCAAAAACTGCGGTAAAACAAAAAAGTTGTCATTAATCAAAAGCGTACTTTTAAATTAACAAAAATATCACTCTGTGGCCTTTGGGTTACAAATAGCCAGGGCCAGTTAATAAAAGTGCAATCTTTATTAATAAGGCAGTGGGTGTGAGAACCCAGAAACAGAAATATGTGGGACACAGTTGCCATCAGAGTTCAGTACTCTCCAGCGCAGATGTCCATTGGCTCGTCCACCGCATGAGGTTGGCTCCCCGGCATCGATTGGTTGGAGTCACTATCCTCTCCCTCTGATCTGCTCATGTCCTCCTCAGTGCCCTGTCCTTCAGTCTCCATCTTCTCCATCACCCTGTCCTCTTCCTTCTCATCAACCATCAGTCCATCTCTCTCACTGGTTAGAGTGGTTTCATCCTCTTCATCTTCTATTAAAGTGCATTCTTCATCCTCTTGGGTGCTCCTTAACATATCTGCAGGCTGCCAATAATCATACAGCTTACCCTACATGAAAAAATAAAATAACACAGGTTTAAACATTACTTTCTGCTGCTGATCAGTCTTAAGAGAAGTTTTGTGTAAAAACATTTTAACTGCTGTACATCAAGAGGTCTGATTTTCTGAAGAAGCATTTGCCACTTGGTGTAGATCCGGGCTAACAGGTCCTTCACCTGAAAGAGGAAGAGAAGAAACTTCACCAGATCTACAAACGTAAACAAACTGGTCATAACAGTAGTTAGTGCATTTACAGCACCTGGTCTATTTTTAGTCAGCTAGGGCCAGAGGTGACAGAAAAACTGCTTTGCTGTTGACTTTTATCATAAAAAGCTGATATTTCAATTTAATGTTTCATTACATCAATCTGTTCATCTGGAAGAAACATTTATTGTTAGTATTGTGATCCGTTTTAAAGTTTGATAAATGAAGCGATGTCCTCTGAGTCGATAGCTAATATCATAGTTATGGTTTTTATTTTAAATGACTGTTCAGCTGTAGTGACGGGGATCTGTAGCTAGATTCAGTTCTCTACCAATCTCTCCTTTCCCGGGTTCCACTGATTACCTCTTTATTTATTTTCTCTTTCCCAAATTTTTTTTTAAATTTTCTCATTTTTATGATTTTTAACCATTAAAAGAAAAATATTTTTCATTTTTGTGAAGTGCCTTGTGATTTTATCTGGAGAGGCGCTATATAAAAGATTGTTTCTTCATCTCGGTTACTCTCAGCAGGCACGTGCCAGTCATCTTAAAACTAACGTACCGCGTGGGCAGCGATGATGCCATGGCGCAAACTAAAATGTTCAAATAAGTCCCTGATTTTTATGAAAACAAAAACAAATAAAAGATCCAACTTTACAAACTGTTAAATTATGTTAATTTGAATCTCTGGCTAAGAGGTTTTAGTTTCTCTACAAACTGGTTAAACTGGAACAGACGTAAAATGATCAGAAAACTCACTTTTAGTCTTTTGCTGAGCAGGCAAACACAACAAGGATGTTATAGAAAAACACATCTGCTTATTTGACTATCTGGTGGCATTCTAGAACCCATTAGGTTGCTTATTATGAGCTAATAGTTAAAGCTGCTTTAGCGAATTAACAAAAAATATAGGTTTTGAACGCAAACATGGTCATGGAGCACTCACGCCTCCCCTTGGGCATCTCCCTGACCAGAAACCCACGTTTCAAGAAGAAACAAGGACCTGCTAAACACCAGTTGCCGTTTTCTAGGTCCAGCCGTCTTTTGTTGTCCAGGACTTCAAATGGCGTTTTTCTTTTTGGTACTCTGGTAGTTTGTCTTAAAGTTGAAGTGGTAGCAGCCGGCTGTTTCTCCTCTGATATTACTGAGCGGAAAACCTCTCACACCAGTGGTGTTCTGTTGCTGCGTGAGAGTGTAATGAGTGGAGAACCTCGGGAAATGTGGCGGTTTGGTAAGACAAGTAACTTTCCATCATCCCTAACCCTAGCTCTCAGTTCATTTCAGGGACTTTCTCTCACAGTTGTTTTATTTAACACAGCACAGCTTCATATACATCACTGAGGTAAAACGACAACAAACCAGGTCTGGAAAGACTCAAAACTTCAGTGTTTTGATGAAACCTCTCATTAGACAGCAGCGCCCTCTGTTCTGTAACTCCGGTTTTGTTCTGAGGTGACTCCATGTTTTGCACAACCAAATGGAAGGTGTGTTTAAATGTATTTGAACGTTCTAAAGCTAATCCTTCAAAGGCTCACCTTGCTGCGGTAAAGACACTTCGCACTCTCTCTGATGTAACATTTAACGTGAGTTTCCAGCTCATTCGATAAAGCAAGCAGCTGTGCCTAAAGACAGAAAACAGTTAAAACCACCCTGGCTGGATTCTGTTCCCCAACGAGGACGGAAGAGGGTTTTTTTTTACCTTCTGATTCTGTGGGAAGATGTGAAAATTAGAAGCTTCATTCATCAGCGTCAGGAGGCTATAGCAAAGGTAGTACGCCTGGAACACATGATGGACAGAAACTCGCATCAGAAAAAACAACACAGTTTTATTGGATTTCTGTGGCTCCGTGACCTGATCCTCACCTGTTGGTCTAGAGTGACGGTGTCTCCCTCTTTGTCTTTTTGATTCATGACACAGAAAAGAACGGAGGGCCGCATTCTGGGAAGGTACGGCCTCAAGTCAGCAAGCTGAGCAACACAAAAGGGCCCAAAGACATTAGCAAAAGATTTGTTGAGACCAAATGAATGATTTCAGATTAACAGAAGACAGGACTTGAAGTAAAACAGGTCACCTGGAAGCCCTCTGAAGGAGGTCGGTAAATGCTCGTTCCATCCAGCAATTTGGAGATGAAGGACATGCTCAGATGTTGCCTTAAGTTTCTATAAGAAATTAAAAAAGGAATAATAAGGTGCAGCTGGGAAAATATAACATTAATAAATCTAAACATATCTGCCAGAACGCTTTCAGTAAATTAAAACAAGTATTTTTCTTAGAGTTAGGTTGAAAACATCCGTTTACTCTTAGGCTTTATAACACATTATGATGTCATGAATCACCCAGCCACTTTAACTCTACGGTCAGTACTCCATGCATAATACACCAGATAAATGTAGATTTGTACATGTGTGCACACATGTTCATGCCTCTACTTAAAGAGCAAGCCACCCCAAATCAACTTTTTTTCTGATAAACTAAATGATGCGTATCTAATCGTGCTGCAGACACGTGTAGTCAATAGTGTTGCACTTTAGTGCATTTTAGTTAAAATGTTCAGTGTTTCCCCTAGGAATTTTTCCAGCTGTGGTGGTGGTGGGTGGGGGGGGGGGGGGGATTATGACACGTCTCACCTTTATGTTAATATTATTTTATCTGATGCACTCCACTCTGAACTGCACCAGTCCAGCAACTGCTGCATTTTAATAACTAGTATTAAAGGTGAATACACCAATATTTGCACAAGAATAATTTCTGTTTTAAACTCTCAGTGGCACACTTTGCAGGGGGATTTGGCATTTAATTTTTCTTGGTGTCTGGAAAAACATCTCCTTCTGCCCCCCTTTATTTGACTTTCTGCCCCTTTATTTTGGTCCAACGAAGTATTTTTAAGCCAGTATAAAAATGACTGAAACACAAATTTACATAATTGGCATTATTGACCAATATCTTTGATTTAATTTATTTGTTAAGAACATCAAGATGCATTACAGTGAACATTATAATAAAGTAAATTTTTCTAGTGCAGAGAGGAGACGACCCATAGAAGCACTGATTTGATCTCATTTCAGAGAAAAATAGAACAGGTCAGATGCACCTCATAAATAAAATTACTAACAAACTCAGGAATCTGTTTCTGTGCTTCATTGTTCTGGTGCTGAAAATATCACTAATGCAGATCAAAGGACGTACACAGATGAATGCACCTCTTATTTATTATTTGGAAATTAGTGTGTGTGGTTTACATCAATACATTATTTTAAATCTGAAATTGATATGAATTGATCAGAAGTGCTATGTGCATTGTTTATTAGAAAACTATTTACAGAGCAGCCTCAGAATTGAGATTAAATATTTTTGATCACAATAGTAAAGGAACTGTTACAGAACAAGTTTTTCAATAAAATCAGAATCTGACTCATCTGAACTCATGCAGCAGGAACTAGGAAATATGAAATACTAGAACCAGACACAACTTTGAAATTTTTTTTTATTTTAATTTGATTAAACTGATTTTTTCCTACCGTTGTTGGCATTTTCCCACACACAGTTAAACAAAACAATGTTGATTAAGGTGTGTGTGAGAGAGAGATAGAGAGGGAGTTAAAATAACTTAAAAAAAACCCGGCCAGAGCAGAGGCAGTGACCGACGCATGCACGAGCCCTTTTCAGCTCTGTCTTGTCAAATGCACCACATACCTTACGAAAAAAGTTACTTTAAATAGTGAACTGAAAAAGAGGCGAGGTGAAGAAAACGTAGGGAGTACTGAAGAAACGTGAGAGACAGTGAAGAGATCCGTTACTGTCTGTGTACGCGCGTGGATGCCTGGGCCGAGCGGACTGAGCTCCTGTCCCGGCTGCAGTTTTGTGTGGAGGGAGGGGCGGATGCTCTATGTGACTGGCCAATCACAGAGCGTGAAGACAGTCAGTTACCCAATGAAGATTTTCCTTCAGCACGACTACAGATATTTACGAGTTTTGCTCGTTTCATGCTCGTATTCGTCAAAAATGCTTTATCCGCCCTAGCTGTAACCACCCTGCCCTGCCTCCTCCTTGCTGCCTGCCGGCTGTGATCACAAGCAACAACACAGTAGTTCCCGCTGCTTCTTCGGGAAATGGCGCAAAAATAAATAAATAAATTTTAAAAAAATCAATAAAACTTGGTATCTTGTAGGCGTGGCGGTGGCCGCCACGGCTACGCCTATGTAAGGGAAACACTGATGTTAATTTTCTGCCTAAAACTGTCAGTGTTGTGCCGTTGTCAGGTAAAAACTCTGCACGGCATTTGAATTTAAATATGCCATCGCTATTGGCTAAGAGGTACCCAAGAACGTTGGCTGGTACGATATGATGTCACAATGTCATTGTGAGCCTGTGTGTGTGTGTGTGTGTGTGTATTTGTTAGAGGCTCCACCCTCTCGGTCTGCTAGGCAACAGCATTTGTTGCATTTTTCAAACAGGAAGTGGGAGTTGAGTAAGAATCCGGTAGGGGTGACTTGCTCTTTAAAGATATGTACCACTTGGACAGTAATAAGTAGTTGTAGCATAACAGTTGACACTTTTTATGTATTATTACTTCCACAATGTTTCACAACCCTCTACCCATAATGCTTCCTGTGTATGCATGTACATAGGAACTACTGTTGTGTATATTATATATTGTGCATTGACTTTATTTTTGCAGTCTTGGTCACTTTTGCACTCCTTTGCTCTCCGTCTGAGCTGTGGTAACGCAAAACTTTTCCCACTGTGGGATCAATAGTCTTATCTCATCTCTTATCTTAGTTGTTTCTTGTACTTAGTTGGTTTTTTTTTCTGTTGCAAGCAAAAACCAGAATAAACCAAAAATGTTTTTACTTTCCACGTGTGTTGTCAGGCAGCAGCTGAACCAGCAGACACATGTTGTGGTGATCATCTGTCAAATTAGTGAGGGCCTGACAGATTCTGGGCAGCTAGAGGTAAACAGAAAACACACTTCTTTACACTGAAGTTTAGGCCGTCTACAAACAATCAGTGGACTGATAGATAGACAACACTGACCATAGCGCTCCAGTCCCTGATGTTGTTGAAGATTTTATACTGAAGGCAGCTCACTTCCACTCTGGACTGGAGAATGCATCGTGTTTCTAGACTGATCCTTCCCACAATAGTTAGCAGCAGCAGCAGTTCGTCATCGCTGTACGCACGAGGGCACAGGCCCATGCAGTACGACAGGTACTACTCACCAGAGAAACGACAGCAAAGAAGCAGTTATGTACGTTTGGTGGCACGGCACAACGGCACACAGTTACATTCAATTAAAGTCAGCTGACAAAACATTCCCACATTAAATGGTGAAATTAAAAAGCAACACAACAAAAATACTGATTTACTCCTACAGACAATAAACTCATTGTACATTAAGTTTATAATCATGACAAATGCTGCAGCGTGTTTACAGTAATATCCTCTTCCTTAAACCACTTTATTTTGTGTTAAAGCAGGTCCAGATAAAAACAAAAACAACAACAGAGGCATATTTTAGGATAAGAATTCATAGAAATATTATTGTTACAACAATTGCATCTGATGTCTCAACCTTTTGGTTCTAAGAAAAGTAATCCAGTAATCAGAGCAGGAAAAGGCCGTCGGTTGTTATCTATTCCACTTGATTCTTTACAAAAATGCCTTTTAGTTCTTGTAAAAATTATTTCCAAAAGGTAACAGGTAATTTCTTATAACTTAAATGTAAACAAAATTCAATTACTTCCACAAGTCTGAAAATATTGATTTCATGACCTCCCTTTCATTCCCAGACATTGTTCAACCAGAGCCCTCTCCACTTGTCGTGTATTTAAAAGGGATGTTCCATCTCCAAGTAAAATTCCACCTGTTGCCATATTCTAGCATTAGATAAGTGGGGAAAAAGCATTTTGTAAACAGGCCAGTCTTTCTCCTAATCTGGTAATGCTCATTTAGCTTTAGCTTAGCATAAACAACGCATGTGGATGGTAACAGCTAGCATTTCATCTGTAAAAGTAAAGACAATAGCTAAATAATGATCCTAATTTTTCTTGGTGACCTTAATAATCCTATCGACTGCAAATTAAAATAACAGAAATTACAGGAGACAGTTTTTACTTGGGATTGCATTAAGACAAAGCATCACGGTAAGTCGTCCCTGCAAGGGACAAGGACACAACGCAGCGGCCCCAGAACGTGTTGTTTACGATCATTAGGGTGAAATGCTACACAGTAGACTCTGTAGTGACAAAGTCTGCCAGATGTCATGCTGCTGCATCATGCCCTTGTGCTTAGCAGCGGTGGCTTACATCAGTGCTAGCTGTGACCATTCACTTACATTGTCTATGCTAAGCTAAAGCTAAAGGAATACTGCCCGATCAGGAAAATGACTGGGCGGGCTACACAATGCTTTTACCCACTTATCTAACTCTGGGGAATATGATTTAACTTTTGGGTGGAACATCCCTTTAGGCTTGTAATTAATGGGAGGGTCTAATGCCACTAACACACTAGTATCAGCTCCACTCTACTCCACTCCACTCCGCTCCGCCTGTCCCAGCCTGGCCGTATTCATTCTACACTGCCCTAGGAATGCAAACGTGATTGAGCACATAGGCGGTCTCCAAAATTGGAAAAATAAATATCAGTGATGTCATGAACACATTTCTGAGCACGTGGGCGGGGCAAAGAGCACGAAAAAGTCCACAGTGTCTCCATTATTAAACAAAAACGGCCTGAGCAGTCTTGCTTTCTGGCAGCACTGTGTGTGTGTGTGTGTGTGTGTGTGTGTGTGTGTGTGTGTGTGTGTGTGTGTGTGTGTGTGTGTGTGTGTGCGCTCCTCACAGCAGTGATAAACAGAGTAAAATGGTTTCGGTCAGAGACTCGTTAACTCCACAGCATCCAGAACAATAATGAATCACGTGTGCGGGAGGCCCCCGCGGGCTGATTCTATCTGCAAATCGGAGGCTCCCTCTAATGGTAGGTGTAATTTTGAGCCGGCCAATCAGTCAGCAGTGTGTGTGTTGGACCAGTTCGTCTCCAGGCAGACCACCTCGGGAAGAGGGATGAAAAGACATCCAGTTGTGTGTGGGAAAATCCATGGGTACCTAAATGAGAACACTCCAAAACGGGTCCAGGCGGACTGGAGCCGATGTTCATGTGTAAGTGCCATAAAGTTACCAAATTAATCAAAACTTTCCCAAAAATGAAATTATTTAGTGATTAAACACCAGAAGGAATAATAAATGAACAGAAATCAAGATTTACAATAGCAAAAAATGACCACAGCACCTGATGGCTCACCTTAAAGATATTGCTGAGGTTGTGTTCAGGGAAAATCATCTCTTCCTTGTTGTTGGAAGGACTCTCACTTTTTATATAAATGTCCCCCCTGAATAAAAACAAATATTCAAGTTCTGTAAATAAAAACACAATAAAATAAAATCCAGCAGTTACTTTATGTATAAAACAAGCAAATGGAGTAAAGCTACTTACAGCACATCTCCTTCGGTGAAGGACGGCTGCAGATGCTCAAAAGGAAAGAGCGTAACAAACGCAACACCCATGTTGATGAGAACCAGCGTCAGGTCAGCCAAACTAGGGACCCACACTTCAAACTTCTTATCGTCCATTTTGACTAAAACCACACATATAGAAAAAAAGTCATTTCACGTGATTCTTTCTTCGGCTGCTAAATCTAAGACACTGGTGAGAGGAGATGCGGACCTATCTGATAGGCAGCAGTGCAGGCGATGTCACAGAGGGCTTGCAGGATCTTCTCTGATAACATCCTTTCCTTATGGACTGACATCATCTGACAAGATCAACCAAACAAGCCCAAAAAGCTCACAACACAACATCAGACAAGTCAGGAAAAATTCCTAGAACAGTAAAGGAAACCTACAAAGACATTCTGCAACACTCTCCCATACATTTAACAAATCAGAATTCTTCTTATTCGGGCTAAATCCCAGTTTGTGCTCTCAGAAACCAAATCTTGGTTCAGCGGATACAATTAAAACTTGTGCCGAGCCGCTGAGATTCTTCAGTCTTTAATATTGCTTATAGCCAACTTAGCATGCTAGATTTCCCTGCAGCTCCAGGCCAGCTCAGTACTGTAAGCTGAGTGAAGTTGGTTTCACACTGCAAGTATCAGCGGAACGGAACAGCAGCGGAGCAGCTCACTCGCAAACTTCAAAGCGGTCCTTTTCACACCGGAAGAGTCTTGGCCGCGGCACGGCTTCCTCGCTACGCCTCGCTGTACCCACGAGATTAGGGCTGGGCGATATGACGATTTTAGACCGTTTTACGATCTACACATCTGACGGTCTGTCATTTTTGAGATACCTTTTTATCACGATTCACAGCTCTGCTGTTGAAATTCTGCCTCTGAATGAAAAGGGAACTTACCTTCGGCGAATGACACGCCTTTGTTTGACCCTTAACCAATCAGAGTAAGTCATAGTAATATATTAGTGCCCCGCTTGTTTTCACCTGTGTGTGAACAAACATGGCTTCGGCCGTGGCTGAGAGCGACAACGAGGTTTTAGTTCCGAAGAGGAACGCCTCGTCCATTATATGGAACTGGTTTGGTTTTTCACCAGATGACAAAGAGCAGCGAAACGTCATTTACAAGGAGAGCGTCAAGGCAAGTGATGGCAACACCACAAACTTGTTTAATCACTTGAAAAGAAGGCATCCCAAACAATACAACGAGAGCCAGCTGGCAGCTAAAGCTAAAAAGCCTGCGGCTGCAGCGGCAGCGGCTAGTGCTTCTTCCAGGCAGCAAACGCTAACATAAACACTCACAAAACTCACTCCTTACGACAGAGACAGCAGACGTTTTCCAGCTGCAAGTATTTTTCGAACACTGCCATTCCACGCATGTACGCTGAATGCAAAGTGAGCGTTGCAGAAAATATTCAGAATGCGCAGTTTTCTGCTACCACAAGCGATCTCTGGTCCAGCCGCACATCAGAGCCGTATTTGAGCTTAACTATCCACTACATGAGCAACTGGGAGCTACATAGTACTTTGAACAAGTTAATGTTTGCACAATACGTTTGCAATTGACATGTTTGCACTTTAAATATGTTTACGATTTTCATTTATGTTAAGTTACTTGAAAAACGAGAAAAACTGATTTTTGTAATTGTTTCTCTCAGGGCTTTTATCATCTCTGGTGTGAGTTTAAAATATAAGTGTGTTAGCACTGTGCTGATTATCCCTAATATGAATAAATGTTTAATTATTCAATGTTTCTCTTTTTTAACACGCAATTGAAGTTATGCTCTTCATGGATAAATCGTGATAAAATCGAAATCGTGATAAAATATTGGAAAAATCGTGATATTCTATTTTTGCCATATCGCCCAGCCCTACACGAGATTCTTAAATCCCCCGAGATGTTCCGACACCTTCCTCATCGAGAGATCACAACCACCATGAGGAATCACACCGTTGCACTTCTCGAAAGAAACTGGTGGTAAACAAAGCTGTTCGGTCACATGAACTGATGTAAATCCTATATAACATGGCAACGTTGAATTTTATTTTGAAAATAACCGGGGATTTTACACTGAAACTGTGTGGTTTCCTGTCTCGCACTATGTGAACTGCGGAAATTGACATGTCCCAGAAGCGGCTCGCGGAAAAAAATAGAACTTGGTCTTATCTTTAGCGGCGCTGCGCGGCATGCCGCGTCACGGCTGGTATGAAACTCTCCATAGACTATAATGGGATTCTATTTGAAGCGGTGCCGCTTCGCTGCCGTTCCGTTGATGCTTGCAGCGTGAAAGCGGCTTTAGACTGGTAGTGACAGGAGGAGCTGAGCAGCTGCAGTGATGCTGTGTGGGAAGTTCTGCATCAACTAGAGCCAAAAACAATGTGACTCTTGCTACAGCAGGGTTTCCCCCAGTGCTTTATAAGCCTGGCCACCCGCCAGGCTAAGCGTCATACCCCGACCCCCTCCCCGACCCCACCGTGTCTGCTGACACGAACGGTGCAACGAAACTAGAGCCCTCCATCAGCTGATACTGGTGAGAAACAGCAGGGGAACGTGTGCAGCCTCCCACTCCCACTCCCATTTTCTGGGGGAAACCCTGTACAGAGTATATTTTGATACTGACTAATGTCTGAATCTCTACTTTTACTTTTAAAAACCCAGCGAACAACATAATACAACAGTGTGCTGAGCCTACCTTGAAAAGGAAACAGGAAACCTGAGTGGGACAGGGTGAGTTACAGTTGTACGATTCCTGAAACAGCCCAATGTTTAAATGAAGTCTCAGCTGAGCAGGGCTGGACCTGGCAGGAAGTGGAAAAACAAAAGTCAACACATAACGGCACCTTTTGGTTAGCTAGTTCAGCAGTCAGCTGTGATATTTCCTGTGTGTAATCGTAGCTTACCAAAGAAGTGTCTTCTGTGCCGTGCCCTGAGGATTCACCATGCACTGCCTCAACTGCAGTGTTTGCTCATTGAAGATTTGGCCAAATTTCTCCAAGTTGAACACCATTTCTCCTGGAGGGACTTCTCTGATTGCAGCGGACATCAGTGAGTAGCGCTGAAGGAACTCCCTGAGAAACAAACCAAATAAATTAACAAAGCAGGCACAAAAAACTTCTAATGTTTAGGTAGCAGTGTTAAGTGTAAACATAATCTTAGCTTTCCTTACTGTTGCTCACTGGAGACATCCTGGTTCTCTTCAGACTCCTCAAATTCAGCCAATTTCAACAGACCTCCGTTGCAGGCAGTTAGAAGCTCCGCCTCGATCTCTTTGGCTCTGATGAATTTAGATCAAAAACCAATTTAGTAGCAAGGGCTACAGTTTAGAACCACTGTTCAGTTTCCTCAAATGTACCTTTTGTTGTCATCAAATTCCTTCAACATCTGGTCAAGACTGTTCTTGTAGACCACTGCTTTAGTGGAGGATGGCTGCACCTGCCAAGATAACAATAAAGGTAACAACTACGAATCCAGAACAGCTCTGACTTTTTAACAAAGAGGATTCACGTGGAACGTACGGTTTTTGACTGGGAGCTGCGAAGCCCGGGTGTGCTCGGCTCGGAGAAGGCTTCTTTCTCCGGTGTATCTGGAACCTTGGTAACGCGCTCCATAATCTCCTGGAAGGAAACCAGCTCTTCCTCTTCGCTGCCATCTGAGCTCTGGGTTTCTTTGATATCATATGTAATGCTTAAGTCCAGGTCTAGCTCTACATCAGCGGGATCCTCTTCATTCACCTCCTTTTTACTCCTTTCGCTCGCCTGTCTCTCCAGTGACAGAGACCTTCTGCGAGGAGGTGACGGTGTTAGTTTAGTGGCTGGTGTGTCCAAAGCACGCAAACTCGGACTGGCCGAGGCTGATGGTGATTGTTTGTGATGAATTTTAACACTCTCCCTTACAGCCTCAACTGTAAGTTGTCTTTCTGAACACGGGCCAGGGCTGTTTTTAGGACACATGAAAGGTTTAAATTTTTCTAGTTTAATGCGCTTTAAACTCACAGTTGGCAACGAGAACAGCAGGTTATGCTCTGAGGAGGACACTGCCTGTGGAAGTCCTGTTACTTTGGAATGGGAAGTCATGTGACCAGAGGATGTAGTTACTGGAGGCACACAGCCAGCAGGAGGGCTGGAACATGTTCCTAAGGTTTGTGAGTTAATGTTTTTCTCAACCATCTTGGTCTTTGCAGTCTTACACAAGGAGTTGACCACGTAAACCATAGGATCAGGTGTGAAAAGCTCATTTATGTCACCAGGGACAGCAGGTCCCCGTACACGACTTGGTTTACTACGCTCTTCTGATGATGATCTGGGAGTGCTACCGTGAGATTTTCTGATTTCTCCAGTGTGATGACCCTTGGTAGAACTAGAGTAGTGGCTGGCTGGCCCAACTTGACGTGATCCACCGCTATCCTCCTGAGGACATTTGGAAGAACTCGACTTTCCACTTTTATGTTTTTTCTCGTTTTCCTTTTTGGCCGTTTCTTGACTGGGCCTTGAAGATGCACACAGCTTGGGTAGATTCCCCTGAGCGGTGGTCGAATCCTCTTGCCCAGCTGATGGAGATTTCTTTGGACAATGTTTAGGTGACGGTGTGAGGTGTGTCTGACTGGGTTTCAGTTTGGATAATAACTTTGAGCTTGTTGACTGTCCACAAGTCGGCTTAGAAACCAGAAGACCACCCATCTTTCTGGGTGATGATAATTCCAGGACCGACGGATTATTTAATGACGGCTTAAAAAACCTTGACGAGATTGGTGGTTTGCCAAGAGTTAGCTTGACTGTTGGATTTCTGCCCGAGTTTGCATCCTGAAGACATGGTTTCTTAGCATCCTCAGAACAGGGCTCAAACTCTTTGTGTCTCTTCTGAGAAGACCGGTTCAGATCCATGGCTGAAGACAGAAAAAGGTAGAAAATATTCAGTTTTCACAAACAGTCCAGCAAAGAACTTATAACCACAACTTAATTCTGACAACTAATTTAAAATCACATTGCTAAATATTTTTAGCCCATATATGTGAATATATAGTCTGGCCTTGGTCCATTGATGGCTCAGATAATTTAACATTCATTAAATATTTCAGATACAAGCCACTTACAGGCCAAAAGTAAGTCAATCAAGGTGGACTTATCAGGATTCTTAAAATTAGGTCTTGTGGGTTGGTTGACCAGATTTATGGAGTCACAGAAGCTTTTGAATTAATCTGAAACTGTATTTTGCTAGTCCCAGTTGACATCACCAGCCAATACGAGTAGGGTTAGGCATCGAGCATCGACTGGAACCGGTTCCAATTGTTAGTTTATCCCGGAATGGTTCAAAGTTTTTTCTTTTGACTCCTAGTTTTGATTCCTAGAATGCCGATGGAAGAGGAATCCGCGGCAATTCTCCGTGAAAAATAAACGTGATCCGCAAATTGTGATCAACCCATTTCAGAGCTGATCACACCAGCTGTCTGTGTGCAGCACCGAGTCCCCCCTACCCCCACCCTTCGCGCAGCAGCCAAATATAAACAAACGCGTCTGCCGAACTTTTACTACGTAATGTAAACTTCACTCCTGCAGCGTAGAGGACACGTGTTAAAGTACGTCAACACGGTGGATTTAACAGAAGCTTTAAATAAACTTTGGACGGTGTGAGGTGAGTTTGTCTCACTGCAGAAATAAAAACACACACGGAGCGTCAGCATTCAGACGCAGCCACTCACCAACACTCGTGTGTGTGTGTGTGTGTGTGTGTGTGAGAGCGTCAGAAGGCTGAACAATAACCTGTAGGATAAAAGTCATCATGCTAGAGCAGCTTTCTCTGTGGTGGACCACACCAGCTGCTGCCACAATAAATAATAATAATAATAATAATATTAATAATAATCAAACACAAAGTTGTGAACATTTTAATTTCCTTTCTGAACTATTTCTGTTGAGTTTTAATGTTTAAAATCTGTTAGATCGTTACTGACAGCAGCTACGTTTAAGTTTCACTTTCTGTTCTGACTGAATGCTGCTGCAGCATGGAGGTGTACAGGGAGTGCAGAAATATTAGGCAAGTTGTATTTTTGAGGAATCATTTTATTATTGAACAACAACCATGTTCTCAATGAACCCAAAAAACTCATTAATATCAAAGCTGAATGTTTTGGAAGTAGTTTTTAGTTTGTTTTTAGTTTTAGCTATTTTAGGGGGATATCTGTGTGTGCAGGTGACTATTACTGTGCATAATTATTAGGCAACTTAACAAAAAACAAATGTATACCCATTTCAATTATTTATTTTTACCAATGAAACCATTATAACATCTCCACATTCCCAAATATACATTTCTGACATTCAAAAACAAATCAGCGACCAATAATGCCACCTTTCTTTGCAAGGACACTCAAAAGCCTGCCATCCATGGATTCTGTCAGTGTTTTGGTCTGTTCACCATCAACATTGGTGCAGCAGCAACCACAGCCTCCCAGACACTGTTCAGAGAGGTGTACTGGTTTCCCTCCTTGTAAATCGCACATTTGATGATGGACCACAGGTTCTCAATAGCAGGCGCAGATAGGGTGGGGGACGGGGGGGGATCTGTCCCCCCCCAGATTCAGATCGACCCCGATCCGTCCCCCCCAACTAAGGCCAGAAAGAAAACAAAATCGGAGGTTTAGCGCTTGAAGCTCCTTTTTCCAATTACATTGAATGCAGCATGACGTAAACAAACACCGACTCTAGGGATGCACCGATACCGATACTGGTATCGGTACAGATACAGATACGATACTGGTATCGGTAAAAGTTAACCCATACTAGGAACCAATACCAATGCAGGTACTCGAAAATGGCTTCACTGTAACTTGTCATTTCTGTTCACCTAATATTTTAGTTTTGTGATGATTTCCATTTATATATTTTACTTTTTATCTACCTCACAGTCCTTTCCTGTTAAAAGCAGAGAAGAAAATAAAATCTGTATTCCAAATCATTGCATTTTTTTGTGTGGTAGAAGTATAGGTATCGGTAATCGGTATCGGCGATTATCCAGATCCAAGTATCGGCATCGTATCGGTTTGGAAAAAAGTGGTATCGTTGCATCTCTAACCGACTCCAGAGGCGCCAAAGTGGTTGCTGCTAGGATGCAGGATGAAGCGAAAAAGGCAATCAACGATTACTGCGTATTTAAAAAGGACCAACAGTGTAAGTAGGCGGGACCAATCTGTCTGTTTATGCATGTTGGTTCTAGTTTCAGTACATTGTTGTCAGTGTTGGGACTTACTCGTTATAAGCACCAGTCTCATTGCTGACTTTAACAAGTCTCATCTACAAATATGATCCCTCATGAAGTTACTACTTTACATCAGAAGATGAGTTTGAAAAATGCCTCCCGCCTAGAGGCTCCCAGTCGGGGAGAAGAGGAGATGCGTGCAGCATGAAGAGAGCAAATATTAGATAAAACGTATAATTGCCGGCAGGTCCGGTCTTTGTTGACTGATCACTTTGTCTGGTGATGACTGACTTCGATTATGAAGCAGAATATTGACTCTGATGAAGAAATTCACTCATCCTGCCGGGAAGACTGACGCCGCTGAAGCATCGGACAGCGAGAGGCGTGTGGAGCTTACAAGCTCCAAACGTTGGGTTTAATGTTTGTTTAACCTTCATTCGGACGTGATGGATGTAGAAACTATGGTAAAACACAGCAAACGTGACAGACATAGCGACAATGTAGCACTTGGACGCGTGTGATGGAGCATTGTCCTGCATGAAAATCATGTTTTTCTTGAAGGATGCAGACTTCTTCCTGTACCACTGCTTGAAGAAGGTGTCTTCCAGAAACTGGCAGTAGGACTGGGAGTTGAGCTTGACTCCATCCTCAACCCGAAAAGGCCCCACAAGCTCATCTTTGATGATACCAGCCCAAACCAGTACTCCACCTCCACCTTGCTGGCGTCTGAGTCGGACTGGAGCTCTCTGCCCTTTACCAATCCAGCCACGGGCCCATCCATCTGGCCCATCAAGACTCACTCTCATTTCATCAGTCCATAAAACCTTAGAAAAACCAGTCTTGAGATATTTCTTGGCCCAGTCTTGACGTTTCAGCTTGTGTGTCTTGTTCAGTGGTGGTCGTCTTTCAGCCTTTCTTACCTTGGCCATGTCTCTGAGTATTGTACACCTTGTGCTTTTGGGCACTCCAGTGATGTTGCAGCTCTGAAATACGGCCAAACTGGTGGCAAGTGGCATCTTGGCAGCTGCACGCTTGACTTTTCTCAGTTCATGGGCAGTTAGAGCCCTGCACTGAAGCCCTAGGCCCTCGGGTCGGCTTCGGGCCAACGACTGTGTAATTACCTCGGACACGGGCCGGGCGCCTTTATTTTTAATCGAATTCATTAAAAAAAATTGAAACACTTAAACCAGGGGTGGGCAACCTGTTCCCATCAAACAGCCATTATTACCTGTTTCCCACAGTAAACACTGGGAGCCACAGCAGCCGCGGTGTTGTGGGCGGGGCCTACCCTCAGACCGCAGAGAGCTGCTCACAACAGGTGACAGCAGCCAGTACCGGTCACTCGTGTACGTCAAAGTTATCTTTCGTAAAAAGATAATCAATAAAATGATTTATATAAAATGGATCCAGAAGTTGTAGCCCGTCTCTGCCTACAATATTTTGATATTATTCACCCTGTTGGTGGTTTTACTGAGCAGGTGCCACTTTTGTCATACGTTTCTTTTTAAAACATGTTTAGACTGTTCAGAATACAAATCCAGGCTCTGTCACGTTTGATTGTTGTAATTAAACTTTGTAGGTGGGGAAGGTCAGAAAAGGATCCGATCACTTTGTTTTCCCCTCATTTACAGCGACGGAGATAATGGCGCAGTGCGCCTGGTTCTGGTGTTAATCAAGTTAAATTATATCTATTTTCACAAGAAAACAGAACAGTTAAAAGCAGGGCTTGTGTTGACCGGACAGTTCCCATATTTGACCGTTTATTTTGACGGAGAAAGAATAGAAAGAATTACCCAGACGCATGCAGACAAACTGACATTTTATTCTACGCATATCGCAGATGTACTAAATCACTCAAGAAAAGATTCCCATCTGAACATCTGAGCTGGACACTGCTCAGCGCAGCTCGCTGGCAGCGTGTACGTAAGGTCCACAACGAGCTGAAGATGTAGAGAAGGGCTTGGAGAGCGTCGCAGAACCAGAGCACATGCAGGAAGATTCCTCCGACTGAATTCAGTCGGAGGAATCTTCCCGCGTATCTGAATCTGATGCGGCTCTCTGTGCTTGTAAAATAATTAATGGATATTTAAATAAAATGCTTTATATTTTACTGAATTAATTTTATATCTGTAAGTCAATTCTATGTAAAGATTGTCTGCGTAAACCTGAACAGGTCCAACCCAGTCTTACTGTGAGACCAGGGTGACGGGTCACGCTTGTGCGTAATCATATGCGCATTCTGAGCTGAAGAGGATGTGAGATTCTGGGCTTCTCCTCAGACGGCTCCTGGAAGCGTCGCCACATTGGAGACAGGAACAAGCACTATTCAGCCAAAGTTTCATAATCAGGGAACATTTTCTAAGTGACAAGTCTCTCTGAGAAACAGGGTTTGGAAAACACTCGCTTCAGTGGGAGGAATCTTCCCGCATGCGCTCTGGTTCTGCGATGCGCTCCAAGCCCCTCTCCACATCTTCAGCTCGCTGTGCACCTTATGTACACGCTGACAGTGAGCTGTGCTGAGCAGTGCCCAGCTCAGATGTTCAGATGGGAATCTTTTCTTGAGTCATTTAGCTACATCTGCGATGTGCGTAACGAATAAAATGTCAGTTCGTCTGCATGAGTCGGGGTAATTCTTTCTATTCTTTCTCCATCAAAATAAACGGTCAAATACGGGAACTGTCCAGTCAGCAC